CCGCCCCTGCCCAGCCAGGCCGCCCCATCCGCGGGCTCGCCCGCCACCATGTTCGTCAAGTACAGCACCATCACCCGGCTGCAGAACGCGGCCCAGCACGGCGGCCCTTTCTCCAAAGCCCCCGCTGCACAGCAGGCCCCGCCGCCGCCCCCGCCCTCGGCAAAGCCTCAGATCCTGGTGCCCCCCAACGGGGTCATGCCGCCTCCCCCGCCCCCACCGCCGCCGCCCACCCCGGGCTCGGCCATGGCGCAGCTGAAGCCGGCACCGTGCGCCCCCTCTGTGCCGCAGTTCACGCCGCCACCACCGCCCCCCAAGATACATCAGGTTCAACCAAATATAAGCCAGGCTACTGTCGCCTCCTCGTTGCCACCGCCGCCTCCTCCGGTGCCTGCCCCCCCGCCGCCCCAGGCACCCCCAAAGCCTGTCATGGCAGCTCTGCCCCCTCAGCCTAGTGGGAAGGTGGCGTCGCCGGGGGTCACACACATCCCTCCCCCTGTGACTGCACCCTTGCCCCTTGTGATAAAGAAACAACCAAGTGTCACTTCTCCCCAGGTGCCTCCTCTGCCCCCTGCCCCTCCTGGCCCCACTCCCCCTGCAACATTCCCAAAGCAGCAGAGTTTCTCGGTAAAGCCTCCTCCATCCCCTCAGTCCCCGGTGCCATCGGTGGTGAAGCAGATAGTCAGCCAGTTCCCCGCTCCTCCCACACCACCTGCCACTGAGCCCCAGCCTCTGAAACCCCTTCCACTGAGTGTGGCTCCACAGTCACCTCCAGCAGTGAAGGCAAAGCCCAAATGGCAGCCTGCTGCTGCTCCCTCACCAGATTTCCCACCTCCTCCACCAGAGAGCAGCTTAGTGTTTCCTCCTCCACCTCCTTCCCCAGCTTCCTCTGCAGGTTCTCCCCCACCCGACAAATCAGGGTCTCCAGTCAAAAAGGCCGGCAAGACATCAAGCCCTGGAGGGAAGAAACCGCCTCCAACACCTCAGCGCAACTCCAGCATCAAGTCCACAAGCTCCACTGAGTACCATGAGTCCAAGAGGCCTTCAGTGGACCGCCTTGTCAGCAAATTTGCACACTCACCAGAGCCGTCAGGATCTCCTTCCAAGGAGTCATCACCTCCTCCAGCCCCTCCAAAGCCAGGAAAGCTCAACCTATCTGGTCTGCCGATTGTCCTTCCACAGGGTGGGATCCCAGCCAAGGCTTCTGCTCCGAATGTGTCTGGAAAGGAACCTGTGGTTGAATTCCCTTCACCGCCATCTGATTCAGACTTCCCACCACCACCACCTGAAATAGATCTTCCTCCCCCTCCAGTAGAAATTCCATCTGTGTTTTCAGGCAGCACCTCCCCAAAAGTCGCCGTTGTAAATCCCCAGCCACAGGCATGGTCAAAACCATCTGTGAAAAAAGCCCCACCACCCACACGCCCCAAGCGGAACGACAGCACCCGACTGACACAGGCAGAGGTCGCAGAGCCCCCAGGGTCAGCCGGCCCACAAGTGCCCACTTCACCCAAGTCCAGCCTTAGCGTTCAGCCGGGATTCCTGGCAGACCTCAACCGGACGCTGCAGCGGAAATCCATCACCCGGCACGGCTCCCTCTCCTCCGCACGGATGTCCAGAACAGAGCCCACCGCCACCATGGACGACATGGCCCTGCCTCCACCCCCACCAGAGCTGCTGGCTGACCAGCAGAAGACCAGCAGCTTTGGGGGCAGTCATATATCTGGCTATGCAACGTTACGGAGGGGGCCACCCCCTGCACCCCCCAAAAGGGATCAGAACACCAAGCTGTCACGGGACTGGTAGTCAGTCCCCAGGGCCAGTGCTCTCCATGACTTGTGGGCTGCTCTGTGATCGGCCAGCCCGTGGTCTTGTGCATGTGGAGAGGATGTGGGGATGTGGATGATAGCCCCATTAAAAGAGGTGATCTCAAACTGCAGCTATGGCTAAATGTAAAGACATTCCCCTTCCATGGCTAGGTTAAAAATTTGGAGGCTTAGGGGTGTTGCTACTTAACTGGGAAAAGTGGGTAGAGAGGTGTTGGCTTCATTCTTTCAGTTACTTTTACCCTTCTTATGGATTGGACCAAACCCCTCATTTTCTTTTTCTGCATTTAGGGGAGGGGGAGGGAGATACTTTTTTTGTAGTGTCTGTCCACGTGAGACGTTTGTGCATGTATTATAAGTGTAGGTATATAATATATTGTGATCTATTTCGTCGCAATTATAGAAGATAACCAGAATGTTTTTGTAGAACCGTATTTATTGTTTCAGTCAATATATTATCTGGAATCGGACTCGAAGTGGTCAAATCTTACCATAAAGTTGGAGATGTAGGGGGCACTTTAAAGAAAGGAAATAAAAAACCTAAACCCACAAACTTCTCAGCAGTTTGTGGTGGGTAAATTCTGCAAAGCTGAGGTGTTCGGCTGGTAACTGTACATTGTCCATTGATTGAAAAGTACAGATGCAACATACCAAAACATTCTGGTCATAATACTACTGAAAATGAGTATGTTCAGAGGAAAGAAATAGATTTTATATATAGTGGGCTGGAGTGAAATATATTTATACTATAAAGAGCCTCCCCCTCCTTTCAAATAGTATAAAAATATACACCGATACAAATTATTTCAAACTTACTTGTCCATGCAGTTAAGTAGGATAAATATATATATTCCAAACCATTATGCATTCTAACTGTTAGTAGGCTCAATCATTTGTTTCTATGGCTCAAGATGAATATATTTGTGTTAACCCCTTCTGAAAGCTGCCAGGACTCCTGCAATCGAAAATCCTGCCAACCCCCAAGGCTGACCCACGCCGATCCGTGAGCTGTCCGTGTAACTCTTACCCTGAATGAACAGGTAGGTTTCTGTAGAAAGCACTGTGTGCTCACGCAGGCATGTACAGCGTCCAGTCTCACCTGGTCTGTGCCTGGTAAGATGCAGTGTCTTCACAAAAACAAGCGTCTGGAAATGTGTAAAGAAAGTATTGTTTGTAACTGATTAGAAATTTTCAGGAAACTTTCCTTTCTGGAAAGAGAGAAGGGAGCAGCAATTTCAGGACAAGGAGAGTAGGAAGTCGCTCTCAGAGACTGTGACCAGTGCATTAACCTGTTTATTACAAAGTTGCACTTCTAGCAGTCAAGGAAGAAGACTGGAAATAAAACAACCTTAAAGAGGCAATAACATTTGCTAGGAATTTCATCTAAGGGCCCATATGAGTAGAAAACAGACTATTGATTTGCTTGGTTTTTTGTTAGTCACCGATATCGGTCACCAGATCGAGTATGACAGTCCTTTTTCTTCAGTAGCTACTTCATTAGCTTGATTGTACAGTCTGACCCACATATTCAGACCTTGTGATAAGGTGGTGTAAGTGGTCTTATGTATCATTGCACATTCCTTGCAGGGTGGTGGGCCTTTGTAAAACTAAAATATTTGGACTGTAACTACCCCATCTTCAGCTGTTACTGCCTCCCTTGTCACCATGGGGATACTGTCAATAGGCTCATAGGGCAAATAATTTCATTGTTTGCATACTTTTTCTCCAAAAGCAAACTTGAAATGCTTTCTTTTTCCCAAAGAATAAAACAAAGACAGAAGCTTGACCTGGCAGTTACCCTCACATGTGTAAAACCTATATAAACTGATCTCTCATTAGAGTAATTCAGAATGATACATTTAAGAAATATTGTGACAGTGTCCCCCATTCCTTTTTTTTATAAAGTTGTTGTTTTGGGTTTTTTTAACCAAATAGTGAAATAAATGTCTTTGCGAATATTTTATGAATAGGAAAAAAAGTTTTGCTAATTTGAGGTGGAAAATTACACATCTATAACTATATAGTTTTAAATAGATGCATCATGAAAAGAGAAAAATTAGTGGTGCTGTCTCTGCTGACCTGTTTCATATGATTTTTTTAAAAATCTGTTTCAGCACCTCTGGAAATTGTTTTAATATTTCAGACTAGATTTTTTGAGCAATAAGAGTATATACCATTGTGTGCATTTTTAAAGCACTGCTATGGAAAGGCACTTTTTTGTATCTTTCAAATTGTCCACCAAGTTTTGTTTGTACTATTTTTGTGCTTACAAAGTGTCCTTAAAAGCATTTGCATTGTTGATTTTAAGCATGCTCAGTGTAGCTGGTGACTAACTTCACAGGAGGGTTGTTAAGCTATACTGCAGCTCACGGGTGCTGTAATTTTCACCATTGGTCCTCTTGCTGCTTTTTCGTGTGTGCAGCTCCTGGGGCTCAGACACACCAGTGGGCAAAAGGTGCTCGCTGCAGCCGAAACTGCTTGGCCCTTAGCCGTGACGGGTAAGTGGGCACATTCTCCTGCTCCTGGCAAGATGCACCTGGGCTGAGGCAGTGTGTGCTCCAGGTGAGAGCAGTCAGGGAATTCTGTTTGCCCCACCTGCTTTTCTTTTCCCCAAGACAGCCTCACTGGTGTGTGTCAGTTCCAGCCCTTTTACTTTAGTTCATTCGGTGCGGGTACTCTGGGCTTTGGAGTTGGCACACCAATGTTTTGAGTGCCATTTCTTTAGAGGCATTTGAGCTTTGTTCTTGTTTTCCTGTGCTCACATTCATATCCCTGGTATCTCTCCCTAGGTAATGAATCCATGCTTACTACTGCAGGCTGCCCACAGCTTGCTGGCAGACAGCTGTGTAACTCCTAAGTCTGCAGCAAAAAGAATTTATGTCAGCAAAGGTGGCACCCTGTATTCCTTCTAGTTAGTTTCCTTCCTAAGGCAGTAGTGATCCACTGAGCGCCTGCTGCGTGTTTTCTCTCAACTAAGCATGGATATTTGGCTACAGCATGGTTCAGAAAATCTGGTTGCCTTTTCAAGTTACGAGATACCTCCCATTGTAACTTGCTTTTCTGGTATGTTTACTGGTTTTGTGACAGTAAATATTTACACCTTATTTTGCAAGTAAGTTATTTTCCCCCATGTGCAGTCATCTCATAACTGCACCATAATGTTTATTAAATCAGAAAATTAAGGGGCTAGATTTCAGACACCCAGGAAGAGGCTTCCTGCTACAAACATGGGCAGTAATACTTTGGGCACTGTTAAAATGGGCACGTGAAGGCTGAGTGTTCATACTCTGGACACAAAAGTGCTTTGATCCCAAAATACGTGTAAGGCTGGCATTGGAATACATGAGGCAGGGCACAGGCTGGTCACTTGTTAAGGTGGGTGTCAGGGGAGCCTTGCTCCTGCAAGGGCAGCTGAAAGGGCTCAGCTGTGTTTGTTAGTATTTTTTTTTCCACATTTGGTCTTCATTTCCCCTCTGCTATGCAGCATAGCATCCACCTCTGAGTAGCAGAGCCCTGTTCAGCCAGGTGTCTGTGCCTGCAGCCCAGGTGTAAAAAGCAGGGAGCTGTTCTCAGACATTACATCACAGTTCAGGTGTTGGGGAGTTGCTTTGAAAGTGAAAACTAGGCTCTTCTAGCAGCACTAAGCTTAGATGAGAAATTGTTTTTAAAAAAAATTGTTCTAAGCAAACCACAGGCAGCATGTTTCAGGTGGCTGTGCTAGGGGTCCTGTTTAGTCTTTTAACAGCTGTAGCTGGGAGAGAAAGGCACACGTGTCTAAATAATTCTCTTATTTTCTATGGAAGAGGAAGTTTCCTGCTTCACCCTGCACAGTGGTTTCCTCCTGCAGCAAATCACCACTGACTGCTCTGACTTGGTGAAGACCTCAAAGCCAAAGAGCTCCTCTCCTGAGATTACTCTGCAGTTCTCTGCAGGGCAACAGTGAGTGACACATCAGGGAAACAGTGCAGGTACCTGGATTTTTTTTTTTTTCAGGTCTGAGGGGAAAGGAAGCAGTTTTTTCAACAAGTGCATTTTAACGTTTACTGTTCTGGGCTTGCGCATTTGAAGGTTTTCTAATTCCTTCTTTCTGTGCCCTTAGACAACCAGATAAATCATATCAGCTCAGAGATAGAGTGGCCAGTCTTCCTTTCAGTTAAATTTTTTTTCCATAGTTTAACCAAAAGTGCCATTTCAACAGCAGAAGGGCAAAAAGAGAATTTTTCTGCTTTTTACAGAAAACAGCATAGAACCAAATTGTTTTGCTACAGTGGTACCATTGCAGGTAAATTTGTATCTTATTCAAAATAAGATTATAAGTGGATCCTAGTATGAGTATTACTTAACTAGTGTCATGTTAAAATCAGTTGCACTCCAGCAAAGCAGTATGAATTCCTGGCAGAAGGTAGTGAGGATGCAGCCAGAACATGGGAGTTTGATTGGTTGCTGGGTTTGTTTTTTTTTAGCATGTTAAGGTGTAGATTACATACTCAGTGACACTCAGCTGCAGGTGAGTCTTACTACTTTGGGGCCCATTTGTGGCACCTGCTGTTGGGCTCTGCATTCATTCCCTTGCACCACTGGGGCAGACTCCAAACCAGAGAGGACTGAACACTACAGGGGAGTTTCTCTTGGATGTTTTTTGCCACATGCTGGTGGGATTTTAAGCTTTATTTTGGAATTCTGTTTTTCTACATTGAGTAATTTTCCTTTCTGAACTTTCTTTCCTTCAATAAAAAAATGCCCATGAAGACTGACCAAACCAGGGTTTTGTTGCAGGGGGCAGCACTCACTAATACTGTGACACAGGCTTGGTCTAATTTTGAGAAGTTTAAGACACTAAACTACAAATGAGATGAGAAACACATGCTTATCTCGCAGAGTGTAAATTACTTTAATTGCTACTAACCAACCACAGGGCAAATAAATGACTTGGATGATGATCATTTGGTGCTCTGAGGCACTCAGTGGGGCAAGGACTCAGTGAGCTCTCTGCTCAGTCGATGGATCTTGGGTAAAGGGGAGTTAGAGAAGGTAGAAGACCAGGAGGAACAGGAACTAGTGCTGTAGAAATGAGTGAGAAGTATTGTCAGTAAAAGATTGTGGACACTATCCCCCCCCTTATTTAAATGCTTGAAGGCAACTTGTCTTTTAGGAGATTTTGGAATTCAACCATTTGCTACAGTGGAAAACAATTTCCTTCCAGCTTTCCCAAGATGCCAAAGATGCATTCTGAGCTGAATTCCAGGTATGCAGATGTGTGTACACCAGTCTCTTGCTGCCAGGGGTCTCATACTGCTGATGTGTAGCACGTCTGGTGAGAGAACAGGGTTGCCGCTCTTAGATGTTGTGTGTCCCTTGCCTTTAACCAACACTGGAAGTGGGTACACACGTGCAAAGGACAGTGTAGCAAACACAGCTGTGCCCATGGCACCCTGCTGCCTGATTTGGTGCAGCACAATAGTGCTTGTACTTCTAAAAGAAAAACTAAATGTTTTGTCACAAGTTGTAATTGGAAATCTTAGGCCTCCTAGTGGACTGCAGTGGACCAGAAATGAGCTGGAGCAGCAGTTTGGTTTATGGCTTACACTAATTGTTACCAGTCACTGGGAATATTCTGTACAATACTGGAGATGCAAGTGTAAGAAGTGTCATTGCAATGATGATTTGTCTGTGCAGCAAACTTGTGCTGAGTGCTGTAAATATTCATGTTTACTGCTTTAAAAAGAAAATTGCACATTTTATCTTTCAATGGGATTGCCTCCCCTCTTCTTCCCTTTCCAAAAAGAAAAAAAAAATAAAATCAAAGCTCTTTTAGACTGATAGCTTCAGGTTGGGGGGAGCTTTGCCATATTATAAATATATATAAATATATGTATAAATATACTTTTTTAAGCATGAGAGAGGACAAAAGAAATACTACATTATAGAATACCCAATATAGATCATTATACAATGGAATATGCACAATTCAATAAAGATGTAGTTAAATTTAATACTCTGTTTTAATCCTCTGTCTTCCAATTTTCCTTTTTCATCAGCTCAGTTTTCAGGCCATCAGTGGTTGCTCTCAGTAGGGGTCAGGTCGCTGATAGCCTACAGCTGTATTGCATTTCTGTCCTCACTCCCAATGAAACTGCTGTTCCTTTGCACAGTTCGTTCCGCTGGGTCAGAGCTGGCTGTACCAGCCATGGCTGCACACCAGTTAAAGGGCTGAAGAGGACCCCCTGTGAAGGCTCACCTTTTCCATCTGCTCCTTGCTCAGGCTTGAAGAGTCTGTCCAGCTCTGCTCACACAGAAAAGCTGCAGGCTGGGAAGTGCTGCTGTGGCCCCACTCTGGGGGCTGTAGGGAACGCGGCTGGGAACGCTCTCAGCCTCACCCTGCGTCCCTCCGCAGCAGAGATCTGAGAATTACATTAGCAAGTGCACAAAAGGGGGAGTCCTACAGAGGCTGAGGAGCTGCACTGAAGGTAGCAGGCTGGATGCCAAGGTTTGTACATTTGCTGTGGGAAGTGCTGTGCCTCAGGGACAGGTCTCCTGCTTGCACAAGACATGATCCCTGGCCCTAGCACGTTGAAGTCTGTAGCCAAAGACAAGAAATGTGACACGACTGTGGCACGCTCACAGAACACATGAGGTGTGCTTTGTTCTTTTTATTTAGGGCTCATAACAAGAGGGTTTAGTACACAGCAACAGTTAATTCCAAGTACAATTAAAAAAATTTAAAAATTGGGTTTTGCACTCACGGAAGGTGGTTCAAATGGCACACACACTAAAACTTTACTGGTGGCATACAGCTCCCCAGAGTCCTGTGGGCTTGGTCATTTACAGTGGGGTCTGCATCCATCCACTGCATCAGCAGTACCAAAGCAAAAGCACAGCGTGCTGCTCCAACTGCAAACCAAAGTGGGGGGTATCTGCTTTCAGAAAAAAGTGCATGGACAAAATCCATGTTAGACACTGACATCTCCAGAGAATTCATAGAAACTACTTGTCCATGCAAGTTGCAAAAGACACTTTTTCAAATGTGAAAAGAAGCACTTGTTCTTTACAAAAAAATCTTGGACATGTCAGCACTTACCGAGGCGCTGTAATGGAAATAAACTTGTACATAGCTCTTCCTATTAGTCAGTAGTGGTAGGATTCTTCGGAGGTATAAAGAGAAACTGCAACAAATGTACTGCACCCATTTCAGCAGGGTCTCCATATCAGTGTTCAGCAGGGTCCTGGGTGTAGGATTACCTCTGGACAGCAGGCTGCTGCTGCCATCACTGTCTTGTTATATGTCTAATACAATTAGTATATTTAGAGTACCAAAAAATCCCCCAAACCTCTTCCCACATGGGCTGGAGATTACACAAAACACATGGGTGGGTTTTATTTCAAATGAAAGCAGCAGAACATGATCTGTGAATTATTCTTTCTAACAGCAGTTGTCAAACCTTGGCTGAATGAAGCTTTCAACACATCCCCATGGACATGAGGCACTGCTATGCTTGAAGTTTTAACATTAGAAATTGGTAAATAGGGCTGCTACTACACATTGACTTCAGCTACTATGGGGGCAAATCCCCAAAACAAACCATATACTGTTCCCTTCTTGTACTGTCCTGACCTCTGTGTAATAACTATTTTATCCACAAAATGCAGCTGTGCCAAATACTGGGAGATGCCAGAAGCTGGGGAAGGTGAATACGCACAGTAAATTCTTGCGACTGGCACCCAGAAGCTGCAGCCCATGATCCTGCTGGTGTTGTTTCCACCACCACCTTCCCTAGAGCGTAGTGTTGTAAAATACTTGCCTTAGAGAATGAACAGTACTGTACATTTTCCACTGCCACAGTTGCCAACATAGGTACTTGAAGTCTCTGCATGTGGTTTGTAATGCTGCCTGAAATGCTGCAGTGCTTCACCAGTGACACTTAATACTCTGAACGCAACTGCTGCTCCTAGTAAAGCCACAGCACTGTGGTCTTTTCAACAGCATTCTCTAAGCAGCTTCCAAAAGTGGGCTGCAGAGAATACAGATATCACCTGTTTCACAAAATGTTCTGTTGCACCTCTGGGAGGAGAAGCTCTGTAAATGCACCCAGTTTACTAAACCACATAAAGTTCCATTCTTTCCAGAAAGGAAGATGTGGAGGTTTTGCTCTATGCCTGGAGCCCACAGATGGAACAAAAAAGTTTGTTTCCAGCAGAGAAGTGCATCCACAGCATCTGCTAGGAAGTGGTGGAAGTTGCTAGGAAGAGCACAGCATTAAGTCACCATCAAGCACAGGTGAGAGACACCAAGAAGCTCAACAGTATCAGTGCACAGTCCTCTTCCACTAAGTCATCAATGTGCACATGCACAGCAGGCAGGCAGCCCACACATCCTCTGCTGGAAAAGGCTCCTCAGTCCTGCTGCCTCCTCGCTTTCTTTTCATGATCAACTGAAATACCCCAGGTAAAAGTGGCACTTTTCAGAAGGTCCATTACAGCCACTGTCAACTTTGGCTATCACCAAGAACCCTCAGCAGCAAGAAAAGAAAATGCCCAGCAGCTGTGAAAGGAGAACAAACTGGTCTAGCAAGAACTAGCTGAGTCTGTGCCTTTCTGGCATCCATGGGTAAGCCAGCGAGCCACACACCACAGGACCTGTGGCTCATACCAGCAGACAGCTCCAGACACTTCCATGACATCCAACTTCAACCATCTGCAAGGACAAGCTGAATTCCAGGAACACCTTCAGCCTCCTGATAACACACACCTGTCATCTACCTCAGGGCCAAGCCACACCTCTTGTCCTCCAGTGAGAGCAGTGGCCCTTCAATGCATGTTTGTGTCTAACCAGCCAGACCAGCAAGAGATCCAGCATTGGTCTGGTGCCTACTCCAGTCAATGCACATGGACACCCTCAGGACACTCGGGCCTAGAACTTGCTGGTTGCCTCTCCTGCCCCTCTCAGCCCTCTGCTACAGCAGCTGAGGGGAAGGGGAAAAGGAGGGGAAAGAATGGGTGAGACATTTGCAACCTCAGCTATCTCTCTTTGGCTGGAATGAAGGCACCAAAATGAACCTGCTTCAGCACTAGATGTGGACAGACTCAGATCTCCTCTCATGTAGGCACGTTACAGAGAGGCAGCTGTAGTTAATAGCTTTGTCCCTGGTGCCAAGAGGAAGGAAGAAACCTTTGATACACAGTAAACCAAGGCAACATACACCGCTAGAGGATGCTGAACAATTTCTGTGCACAATGAAAACAGCTGGCTGGGCTAAGGCAGTTCTCACAAAGGGAGAAACATATACATTTTGGCCATTCAGCAAAACTCTTTGGGCTATGCTGGAGTGTCTCCTTCCCCCACCTCTCATACATACTCACTCCCGCTTCAACAGCCTGTGATGCAGAACACCATGAGCTGTGGCAGCAAAACTCAGCAGTGAAGAGATGTTGTGCACCTTATTTAAAATACTGAGGTGTTTCTCTCCTCACCCCCGATTTGCCACCCCCTTTTAAAGTAAACCTGTAAATTAAAAAGGGGTGGGGAAGAGAAGGTTTTGGACAAGGAGAAGTACACAGGACAAAACTGGAAACACAACCCTCACTGACTTTACTAGCATGCAATCTATGTAACACTAATATACAAAGCCTGTTTACCTTGGCCTGGTCTATGACCATTACATCACATCATCCCCAAACAAGCAACAGAATTAAAATCTGTACAAAATAAAAATATGCATAAAACTCAACAAATTTCTTTACATTAGTACTGCATAATAAAGCATAAAACCAGCAGGAGGTGACCCAGAAATTCCATCCACAGCAGTTCTTGCACAATAAACAATTCCATGTACTACCAAGCAGGGACCAAATTAACCCCTGGCGCATCAGACCAAAGCCAATTCCTGAGGAGCTGTCACACATTCCACTGTCAAGGTTTTGCAGCCTCATCTTCTGTGCTGGGCTCTGGCAAGCATTCATCTCACACTGCTCTGCTCTCACAACACAGAAAACTTGCAAGACAAAAAACCAGCTGATTGAAGATTAAGTATCGCACCCACTGGGAGTACACACTACCCCACCCACCTGCCAGAAGTGTTCAAGCACAAGCTCTTGCTCAGAGTGGGTTGACACACGTTTCACTGAAGTGTGACCTGCCAGCTGCAGTTTGGGTGCGCAGGCAGAGGTTCAGCTCTCACTTAGGAACTCATTAAGCTGCCCTTATGATGCATTTGAGCACTGTGGGCTCTGTTTTTGCCACAAATATATCCAAGCCAAGAGAAGCCAGGAAAGCTCTGGTATTCCTGGAAAACACAAGCCCCCCAATAAGCACTAAAGGCTTGTCAATGCTGCTGTTCAATCACCTTTGCTACAAGCACCACCTCCCTGTGTCAAAAGCTTAGACCTGCCCAATGACACTAGAAACAATTAATTCCAGTGACTGCACAAACAGTGGTTCTGGACTTGCTTCCATAGAAATGATGGGCTGAGGGAACAACTGAACACGGCTGCTTCTCAGTCTTGCTGCAAGAAAACTTTTCAGAGTAAATGGCTTAAAGGGTATTTGTTCTGGCACTCATCCCAAACAATGCTGTCAGCTTCCAGAAAGAAGACAACATGTGGATTAGCAAGGGAGAAAGCGACTTCTATCTGCACATGAATTTCTTCCAACTGTCCTTCCTGCAGACTTTAACCAAACCAGTTTCTTGCGCACTGTCACAGGAGTTCCACAAGCTCACAGCAGGTGATCATATTCCTCCATGGCCTACAAACACTCATTTGTTTCTTCCTTCTTCCCCTCTGAGCAGCTATGGCATCTCCCTGCCCAGGCTGGCACCAAACCTGCACCTCCATGCTGGCACTGCACTACCTACCAAGGGACTGGGTCAGTTGCCAAGACTGGTGCCAGTGCATCACACAGCCAGCCCTGCTCTCCTGTGCTGGCCTTTCTGGCTGCAGCCTTGCCTCACCTTGGACAAGCTACTCTTGCTACCAGCTACAGATTGGCCAGGTGACAGTCTAAAGTTGCCCAGGAGGATGCCCTTGCCCAGGAGACTCTCATAATACAAGATCAGCTCAATTTGCAGACTAACAAGACTTAACAGGAAATTTAATTAGTTAATGCATAATATTTACCCAAAGGTAACATTTAGATGTTCCTAAGGGCAGACAAGTACAACCATCACTTACAGTGATCTGATGTGTACAATCACTGAGCAGAACTTTTAACTGAACTAGATTAGGAAGCAAAGTATCATCTCAAGGACCTACAGAGCCTTCACTTGGTATTACTCCACCCCAAGCCACCAATACAGCTCAAAATATCTATTATAATAAACAGTGGAGAGGGCTAGGGGAAGAGCTAGGACTACTACTAGTTACTGCTTGGATTTCCATGGGAAACCAGTACACACAACAGCCCTTTTTGCTTCCGCTGAAGAGAATTTGGCAACAGACATGAAGACGACAATTGCCGTTTGTCCTGCCTCTGCACAGGGCTCTCACAGTACATATGCAAATCTAGTCATCAAGTACAAAATAGCCAATTTACAATACCTGATTGGATTTTTAAAATTATATTGTGCATAAAACTAAAGTTGGGGGCAAGTTTCTCTAGTGCAAGCAGGCATGAGTAGATTTGAACCTCAGATCACACCCCCTAGAGTTAATCCTCAGACCCCAGGAGGACCTGTAAACTTTGTTTTGCCTTCACCATCAATGGCATCTGTGAGTTCTGTTCGAACCGGCAGCAACCGTGGCAAGGACCTCGCTGTGGAGAGGAGCACACTTTTTTCTTTCTTTTTTTTTTTTTTTCTTTTTTTTTGTGCAGAACACAAAACAAATATGTGGCATTCAGAAGATGAGAAATGGGGGTGGTGGTCCTCTGGGCTGCAGCCATCTGAATTGTCTAAACTGAAAGGTGAGTGAATGAAAGCCGGCTCTGTGTGCCCTGTGTCAGCCTACGTGTGCAGAGCAGCTGCAGAAGTGTTTATGCTGAAGATGCATCCAGCTATCTGGAAGTCAGTTACAGGAACGTCTCTGTGTAGAAATCCCAGTGTTTTCTAGCACATGACTGTCCTTCCAGCTGCACAGGAGTGTAGTGTAGAAACAGGAGGGATGCTCACTGGCCAGTAACCTTCACCACAAGCATCCAGGACATCCCCAGTGCCAGGCACTGCTTCCAATATAAGTACCGTGAGGGCACACAGGATTCCTGAGACAGATCCCAAGGCCTGTCAAAAGTCAGAATTCGAGTGAAGTATGAGCTAATCAACGAGTTTGTTACATCTGAATGGGTCAGCTTAATTCAAAGTCAGATAGCTCAGGATAGCCTCTGCTGGCAGCTGAAGAGCCATTTGTTCAAACAACTCAAATCACTATTGTCTTATCGTGAGGGGGAAAATAAAAAAAAAACCAAACCAAACCCAAAAGAGTGGTTGTTACATTTATCCTTCATTCAGTTATACTGGACGGGGTCCCAGAGGCTGGTGGAGATCTGGGAAGCCCTGACAGCTCCTGCAGCAGGAGATGCAGTGTTCTGTCCTCTGGTCTTCACTCTGAGTAATGCATGATCGACTCCACATAGTTCCCTGGGAACAGCCCCGTCACTCCATTCATGACCCCCTCATACCAGCCATCATCATTCTTCTTGATGACATAAATGATGGCACCTTCCTGAAATGAGAGCTCATCTTCCTTGTCCTTGGTGTAGTCATAGATTGCCACCACTAGGAAAGAACAGAACGTGACTGTTAGGAGAGGAGGAGGAAAATCCAGTCACCTCCCTTGTCCAGGCATTGCCTCACCTGTGTATGTGCAGAATGACCTGCTGAGAGAAACAGTTTTTTCCACCCCCTTTTGTACAAGCTCACACTTAGGAAGCACATAAGCCAGGACTCCTTTAACTCTTCTATTCTTACTATTTCCAGACCCATCAGAAGAAGTGTCCAACTGTATGATAAACTTTTGGTGTGGAACAATACAAGGTGGTTGTGAATCCCCATGGCTGTGACCACCCAAGACTATAACTACATGTGCTAAACCAGATTTCAGCACAGTTAAGAGCAGGAAAACATGGAAGAGAGAGTGTAGCAAGAGCTCTCTTTAGGCCGCAGTATGAATGAGCCATGGCTGATGTCCCATACTTCCATCTTAGCTCCTTCCACATTTAAATCTCTAAAGCTGCATGTGCACCTCAGAATCCCAGGACACACAGCACCACAGTAGGCAAACCCCTGTTAGGAGCCATGAAGAAGGAAGGTGGAAATGTACACATATTATATCAGGACACTTTTCTTACAGCTGCAAAATATTTTACTGATGGCAGGAAAAGCAAAGAAACTGGACAAAGAACTTGGAAATATTAAACGGAACAGTCCTGAAATGCCAGAAAATAGACATCAAATTGATACGTTTTTCCAATCTCAGTGCTATCATTATGTGTTTCATAGAGAGAGTTAGTTATGCCAGACTCTGAGTACTTTAACAAATAGCATCAATCACTGCTTTGAGCACTTGGCAATGAAACATGCAGTGCTGCCACTAAGGAAATAAAAAAAGTATGTTGGACAGGGATCCTGAAACCTTGTACTGAGGATAGATGGAAAGATACTCTAAACTAAAGCAAGGATTAAAAATTAACAACATGTGTTCATAAACCCACTGTCCAACAGTCCTAGTAAACTCATCATTCTTTCCAAAAGAAAAGAGATCATTTACTTTTGAGGGAGCAAAGGAATCAACACAAACCAACACTAGGGAAACCTGGATCCAGAATAGATTATAAAATATACAGATCAATCCAAGTGGAAAATCGGAGTATGTGAAGTACTTTTTTTTTTTTTTATCATTTGACTAAAGCATATTTTAAAAGCACATGTTGTAGCTCTACAGTTATGCCAGCAGTTGTTAAGTGACTTACTCTGTACAGTTTTGGACACATAATTCTAAGCAAACAAAACACCAATGGAGAAACAAGTACATTTTTAGCTTGAAAAACAAGTGTATGAACACGTGATGCATTCAAGTCCTTCAAAATTCCTAAGGGTTTTGAAATTTCTTCCTAGAGTCATTGTGCTATTTTTCTTCATTCTCTTTATGACAATAATCATCATCATCCAAGGGTCACGGTAACTTCCAATTCCTTTTTAACTTTTGAGTGTACTCTAGTCCCTTTGGATACTAAATGGATTCATTATTTCATGATCACAAGAAGGAAACTCTTCCTTAAGTCTGTGAAGAAAATTTGCTTCTTGTTAAGCCTCATAAAATTTACCTGAAGCCTGGCTTTGTTTTTACCTTGCCACTGCTTCCTCCAGCATGTTATTTGTGTACTGGTAGTAGTCCTCTCTCTAAAAGGCTGTTTAATCCTTCTGTCTGTAGTCCCCCCAGCTCAAGCTGTGCTTGTCACATGTCCTGAGTTAGGAAGAGTCCAGTACTGCAAGAAAGGCTCCAGATGAGACAGGAAGCAGCAATACTGACTTAGGAGGTGGCATCCTTCCCTGTCAGCCTGAGCCAGGGCCTCTTTTAGTTTCTGTCTGAGTATGTTTCAATGCAGTTATGAAAAACAGAATTACTCATTTAGGTTGACATTCTTCCTATCAGTGATCTTTGGTTCTTCAACAATTACAGAGAGTTTTGGCAGAACTCTCCAACTGACCACAAATGTAGGCTAGGCTGATTATCCAACTGGAATCTGTGAACACACACTTTCTCTAAGTGGTGTAAGTGCAATTTTTCCTTTTGGATACCCATTTCCATTCATCTGATTTGCAGAGACAGGTATTTTTCTTATCTTTTCCTGCCACATATGCAGACACAGAGGTCAATGGAAAACTGCAGTGCACATCCCTGGACACTGCAGGTTGCATGTTGCTATTACAGTGGCAGTGTCCTCAAGTCCAGCATCCACAGTAACAATATCCTACTTAACAATTTCTCCATCTGTTCCAAATGGATCTGCTATTCACTTCCATCCTCAGCTGCAGGCTAGAGCATATCTTCACGTTAAAGGTACCTCCCACACTGCTTGACCCTCTACAGAACAGGGTCATATTGAATCCCATTCCAATTTACAGCAACCCTCTGTATTTGACACCTCTTTGATGTCCCAGCTTCTATTGCAAAGGTCATCTACCCTAACCCTATAAAAGTGCTCTCATATGAACTTAAATAGGAGAATGGTCATATCAAAAGTACAAATACAAATCCTAAGAACTGGGAATTCTACTTAATTGGGGTAAATGTGTTGGAAGAGCTACCTACTTTCATCTGTTTTGTCCACTGAATCATGTGGCACAGTATACTATTTATAGGAACTTTAGGAGTTGCCACAGGATAAATTATTTTGCTGAATAAAGCATTATAACTCCCAGCAGTGTAAGTATACATATTTTCTGAGTATTAAAGTCATCTTTTAGTATAAGGTAAGTCATTAATTTTAAAGCTTCAAAGCTTGCTACAAAAAACTCACAACCAAGCATTTCTCTCCCAACTCTAGCAAAGTAGTCAAATCTCTAGACATGGGCTGAATAGAGCTATTAATGTAACTACAACAGAATCTACACCTATGTAAATATCACATTTTTTTTCTGGCATCCTAAAACTACTATTTAATAGTTCTTCATACACTGAAAGCAATTGCATTTTCTATTACTTTTAAGAGTGTTTCTAAAAATAGACCAACCTTTCAATGTTTTGATCATCCAGTTCGAAAAATACAGATCAAAATTATGTCTTTGCATGTGTCTCTACATCAATAGAGACAATGTTTGGTTTCTTATACTTTTGTTCTCCACAGGAAACATTTTCTGACTAAAAGCCTGACTTTCTCCAGCTTGTCTTTCAAGACTCCCCTTTACAGTTTTGTTATCTCATGTGAGATGGAACAGATCTGTGTGTATATGCACCCATATAAACTATTTTAGTTCTCAAGCTCATAAAGTCCCACAGGAAAGCAGAACAGAACTATCATTCAAATATCATTATTTCCTCAAACAGAAAGTTGTATCTCAAGGCACGTGCACATACAGCACGCCCCTTGTATTAGTATGAGACACTTAGAAATACACACCAGGGCCTCTTCTTTCTCTTTTGCTACTGACTAAAGTGGTATGAAAGAATCTAGGCAGACTCCAAATCCAAAAGCAGGATGGCAGGAGCACATACAAAAAGCTGTCTCTTCTAGCTGCAAACCTACCCTTTTCTAAGTATGTCCTCGGTGCCCAGGGAGGGTCCTCCTCAGCATAGGGATCGCTGTACTCCACCACAGCTGCTTCCTCCTCCTCATAATCCTCTGGAGGTGGGGGTGGGGGTGGAGACTCATCAAACACTGGCTCATCCACAGGCGGTGGAGGGGGAGGAGTATCTGAAACTGAAAGGAAGTAACCATACAACCATGAAAATGTCTCTACAGCCATGCTTCAACTAATACTAATATTAATAATATATAAATACAACTACAACGAATACTCTCTATCCCAATTAATTGCATTGGGACCAACCAACAGCTATAATTTGTGAAAATTCACTAGAGACAGGAAAATTCAGAGAAGGGAGGAACAGGTCCCTCCTATATAATTATTTATTTTTTTCCATCCTTCACAAGTTCAGACAAACTTGCAGAGGCAGTAGGAAAGGCAGAATTCTGGCTATACACAGACAAATCTTCCATCAACTCAATCCAAAAGCCTCATCCAGTGATAAAACATAGCACAAGGAAGCAGCAAACTTACTGTTTTCTTGAACTCTGGCCACAAATCCCATTAGTGGTAACTGTGGAGTTACCTGTAGGATGGAGGGGGGAGGAGGAGCAAGGGATGCTGCCACAGAAATTAAAAAGAGAGAGGCATCCAGTTAGAAACACAACAAAGCAGCAAACAGGAAAGTAAACATCATCACCACTCAGTGCAGCAGGCTGCCAAGAAGCTGAGATACGAGGACTGACATTTAAAGAAAAATGGCTCAGGTGGTTTAAGCATATTCCTAATCCTTTCTTCAAGGATATTAAGAAGCCACACGGAAGTATTTTTCTGATTTGTCTATGAGATACCCTTAAGATGAAGTTTCTTACTAATATAGCACCTTATGAACAGACCTAAGAAATATATCAGAGGACTCTCTGCCTATAATCCTCCCCCTTTCAAATCTAACTGATATTTATAGAGGTGACTAACAGCATCCATGAATCCCCAGCAATGAAAATGGATATACTTCTTTTTTTTCCAAGATGTAGGCCAAAAACCCCCCATTGAATGAGGCAACTATTTCAGACAAAACAGAAAAAGATGCCTTTTGAGAAGTGTGCAGATCTGAAAGATGCAATGCTTCTGATCTTATTTGACTGAACAGAGCACACTGTGTTGCTGCCAAACCACAGGGCCTATTCCAGATGTGCTGCCTGGTTTCCTCCCCACCTGACTTCACTGCACTGAACTCTGAACAGCCCTTTCACTGGTACCAGAAGAGCTCTCTCTGTACAATAAGAGCTGCCTTTGTACAATACATGTGAATTCCCAGTTAAAGAAGACACTTTCAGCCAGTTGCAAATGCTGTAACACTGAACTGTGGTTTAAGCCTGGAATGCAAATTTCAGTTATCTAGTTAAAAAACTCAGCTAACTAGTTTTATATGAGTTTAGTATCACTTTGAATAATGCAGCAAATTCTTTAGGCAAGCTGCAAGATGATTTTTCAGACAGCACACCTTAGGAGGAGCACAAATAATAAATTTCTTGTTAGTATGTGGCATACAAAAAACATTTAATCACGTCCAAAGGGATTAAGGGGAAAAAAGTCTGTAGTTTATGTAGCAGTGCATTTATTTAGCTACCAGACAGAACTAAATAAATTTCAGGCTAATTTCAGAGGTAGTAAGAAAATTGACAGGTATGATGTAGCATTTTTAAGAATTAATTCACATTATCATAGCAAGAGAAAAGTTCTACAGCATTTACAACTTGTGTCTCAAAACTTCTTCTATTTGCTCATTCCAGTAACAACTATCTTAAGTGCTTTGAATTTCTTCTGTCACTCACATTCACATTTCTTTCAGAACCACACACTATAAATGAAAAACTAACAGCTACCATCCTTTTTGTTGCAAAAATATCCTGTACCTCCATATAAAGTAAGTTCCACTATCTCACCATTTAAACAATATCTCTTGAGAAAAAGCTGAAATACATTTCTGATTTCAGATTCTTTGACTCAAATGACATGACCTCAGAGTAATTATTCCTTTAAGTGTAACCACGATTGCTGTGAAAAGATTTCGTCTTGCATTTTTTCAAAGGAGAAAAAGGGAACTCAAATTTCAAGTCCTACTGAAAAGCAGTAATGTTCATCAATTTAGCATCCTTGTCCCTGCTTTTTCAATTATATATGCTATAGAAGTGTTTCATTTCAAATGATTCCTCAATTCAACATCATATGGACTCATACAATCCATATTTACCATAGGAGAGTAGCTCCAGTTTCCTTGGTCTCTTCAGTGTATTTTGTTCATGAGCTATATATATTTCTTTGAAATAACAAGGCTTCCATGGAGAAAAATAAATCATTCTAGACAAGCACGCCAAGCAAATACAAAAAATTCCCAGGTTCAGTTTGGGTTGTGTAGTTTAATCGCAATGGTGATGCTAACACTAGCTGACATCATTCCCTGTGTATCTTAACCCCTCAGTCTGTGCTTCAGTCTTTGCACTATGCAGGGACCATCATAATATTGTCTCTATATGCTGTATGACTCTAGTTTTGACATTTAAGAGGCAATACAGTAAATATTTTGTTATTAATTATTTTGTTTATTAAATGCATCAGAAGATCTTTACCTCTACTGTATAAACATCATCCTTAAATGCTCTCTCCCATCTTCCTTCCATATTGATATTTTTAATACACAGTTGCTGTAAATTAATTTAGAAATGTTCACGAGCATCTTCTACTAGGCTGCTTCAGACTGGTAGGAATTCAGCTGTACAAATGGGGTGGGGTGCAGCCACCATCTCAATAGTTGCCCAGATTCTCCCACATGGATTTTAGCCTGTGCTGAGCTGTACATTGCTTAGATAATGATATCCAAAGTTGCAAGGTTAAAGCAACTTGGCTAGCAAGAGTGGCTTTAGGACAGACATATGCTGAGATCATTTAGAGTCTGCATTTCTTAATACTTTCTTTTCAGCTGTTAAAAAGGTCTTGTCATGAAGCAGAAAAATTGTATTGTCTTCAAGTGGCATTTAGCAGAACAGGGCAATGCAAGTACCTTTCATCCTCCTGTCAAGTGAATAAACTAACATTTTTTAAATTTTTTTTAAAATGGCAATGTAAATAACAGTACCGTGTTATTGCCAAACAGCCTACAAACAACAAGAAGGCATCGCTGGCACCCTCCTCTGCCTCTTGTAAGGTCTCTCTTTCTCCTCTTGTTTTCTGCCTCTCTTCAGGAATGCTGGGAAAAAAACATGGCCTCTGTCCTGTCACTATGAAACCTGCTCCTTCCAGACACATCAGTGCCTCTGTTCTTAAGGCTTTCATCAATTATGCATGCTTGAGCATCCTCTCCTTTCAAGGTGAGCTCAAAAAAACCCTTGGTTTAGTGTAACTGCCAAGCTAATAAATTTTGTATTCTGCTGGTATATCAAAAAAAGTCTCTTACTACAACTGCTTATTTATATTGTCTCAGATATGCCAGTATAACTGAAGTATTTTGTTTGTGATTTACAGTTCAAATGACTAATCACCATAATCATTACCTTCCTTCTGGATACACAGACTGAACTCTGGTTATGCAATTTATTTTAAGTCTATTTGGCATCTTCTATGATTACATATTAACAATGCAATAGCAGTTTGCAGAGAATTATCCCTTTGCTAAAGCAAAAAATGCATAGCAGTCATCAAAAACTCTCTGGATATACTGAAAATCGTCTTTATTGCAAAAATTGCTTTATTGTAATCCTGAAAGGTTTCTTTTGTTGCTATAACCCTTCTTGCCTATTCCCCCCTTCAGCCTTCAATATGCACATAATGTGCTTAGAAAATATGACCTATTTCAGGCAACTGGGCTACAATTCAGCCCTACAATCTCCTCCACTTCCCTGTGCCCGGAAGGACCACTCACTTCCATCTCAAGCTCAGCACAACCCTCACCCTGCAGGGTAGCTCACAAACAGTAACAGCCAAACTTGATCAAATCCCTTAAATGCAGGATTTGGCCTAATTCCAAGTTCAGTGCTCAATTTTTAAAAAACAAACAAAATAAACCAACCAAACAAAAAATCCCAAAAGCAACCAAGCAACACATACCCCCCTTCAAATCCCACCACCACAAAACACCAACATACTCTAGCATTGCAACTCAACATTCAATCTTGCCAGTATTAGGGCATTTCCTGACAAGAAACCTTCAGCGTGTTCCCTGCATCATTCTGTAGCTTTGTCAAAAGAAAAATTTTTCCCTAGTCTGGTATAAAACCCTTCTCCTGTCCCATCAGAAGCACAGGAAGGAGGACTCCTTAGGTAAAAGGCTACTGTGTTATGCTGACACACAGAATGCTCACTCCCTGGTAAGTCTCCTCTTGCTTTGTAAGGCAGATCACCCATAAAATAACATCACTTGTGGGCTTAGCAGATGACACAGCTCCCTCGCACCCAAACACCACTGGTGTCCCCAAGGCATCTAATGCTTATCCTGGTGTAACAAGTGCAACTGTTTGAACTGTACATTACCCAGAAGGAAAAAGCACACAAGATAAAAGACATATTCATGAAGAATCAGCATTCTGGTGCAAAATCGAACACCCATCCGACACCAAAGCAGGTCCATGACACATGGTGTAGTCAAGGACTAAAATTTGTCTGATAGGGACTGTGACATCAAATGGAAATTATTTGGCAACAAAGACAGCATTTTTTAAGATGTTTGCCATAATGGAAGCTGAACACTCTGCACTTGCACTGCAGCTTTGGCACAGCTACCAGCAATATTCTGAAAATGCAAGAGCTGCAATGGAGACAGAACATAAAATTTCAGAGAGCTGAAGGTCACTGTGTTCACCACTGCTGATTTCAGTGGAGCAGCCAAGCCTTCTTACCTGGGTTCTGGTTGTAGAAGGGGCCTCCGTTCATCTGGTTCTGAAGGCTCGTCTGGGATGTGATAGAAGGAGGCCGCCGATATGGCAAAGACCCCCCGATGGTCGGGGGCGTGTGCCGAGCTGCAGGCCTGTTCATGCTGTAGAACTGAACTGGGTGACCTAGGGTAGAGAGAGAAGTGCATCAGCAAAGAGAAGAATGATGCCTGCCTTCTCTCTACCGGCACTCAATTTCAAAGGTTCAGAAAGGTTTCTGTCTCTTTATTTTAAGACACTCTGCATCCTAGGAGGAGTCAGCCACTTCGGCTGCCAGACTGGCAGGACACTGAATGTCTCAAGAGCAAAGGAAGACATAACTGTCCCAACTGCCTGCACTCAGCACTGCCTACAAAAGCCAGTAGGAAAATACAAAGGTGTTTAAGCTACGAATCTTCAAAATTAAAGAAAATAATATCTGGTTATCTATTTTAAATAATGTAGTACAATAACTTCTTGTGAATTTACTTATTTCTACGCCTGCAAAAAACTCCCCAGTTCTGCAATGAAGGAAAATACAAGTAAAAAATAACTGCAGACAATTTCCAGGATTCAAAGCTGTTACCTTCTGTAACTGAGAAACACAGAATTACCTATCTTAGTGCCATTTAGAAGATATTCAGAGAATCATCTGGGGAGAATGTTAAAAACTGCTTGAAGGATGGAATAAATGAAGTCCAATCAAAAGACCCTCTCCAAGGGAGCTCTCAAAACAATTCCTCAAACACTTGCTCTGTATTTTCATTACTTCCTGTACTCAAGACATAGATTGTGAATCCCAGCAAGCAATAAACAAAGCAAGGTATCTTCTGTGCTCACATAAAATTATCTAGATTTCATACTGTATGTAACAGTGAGCTGGATTTATTATTCCTAGATGAGTTATTACACCCTATAAGCTATTCTGCCTCCACCATTTGTCCTAGAAACAAATTTGAGAGTTTGCAAGAAAACAAGGGAAGAAGGGATGGTCACTGTGGTTGAGGAGAGAAGTAAATAGAGAAACAGAACAAAAGAATGTATAAATTTAAAAAAACCTGCATTGTTCTTCATTATGTCTCGCTTGCTTTGCACAACTGTGTATTAGGTCAGTAAATAAAAATACAAGTTGCTTGCTCTGTTGCTTGCTTGTAAGAGCAAATGCAGAGTCACATTCCTTCTCCTTTGTACCAATAATGTAGTGTACCATATAAAAAAATGCACTTTTTACAAATAAGAAACAGCCAAGAAAGAATCCATTCTATAAAGGCTTTCTCCCATTTTTCCTGATGTCTTTCCAATGTGTCTCTCTCTCTCTCTTATACTTAATGTATTTGCAGAAATTGGTGGTGACTGGAGAGAAGGGAGGAGAGAGGGCTGAGGTTTTTAAGGACCAAAAGCTATGACTTCATAAGTGGTGACCTATCCAGTCTCTTCAAATACTTTATTCCAGAGAAGCCATACAAGCAATCTCACTAACAAAACAGGGAAACAAAAGATCTTAAAAATAGTAACTAATGCGAAATTTCTCTTATGAAACTGTGAATGTGAATTTACAGTCATTAAAATACTAATCTCTGCTTGCTTTTGACTGGTTAAAAATATAGAAACTACATGGCTTAAGAACTGGAATACTGACAGTGCATCAAAAATGGAAAACTGATTGAGGCACTATATGCCACAGCTCATCCCCATGAAAGTAGTTTAGTCAGGATCATCTTCTGACATCAAAATTCATCACATTTAAGAAACTTCTGGTTACACTTAAGGATTCTAGTGTAAGTATCTTCTAATTTTGTATGAGCCATGGATCTTTAAACTACATGCAATTTCAAGAATGCTTCTGGAACCTGGTGTTATTTTTAAGCGATGAACACTAATAAACACATAAACCAACTCCCACCCCTGGAAGCAGCCTTCCCACCATAATGTAAAGTAGCAAAGAATGCAGGTAGCTACACATGAATTTGGCTGTCTGAAGGAGATCTTTACACTGCAATCTCCTCATCAAAAGGTGATACAGGTTATGGTTGGTAAGCGCTACACTCTGCAACATGAGAAAATGGAAAGAGTAGCATTAAAAAAACAGGAAGTTGCAATATACACCCTAAGTACCATATATGAAAACAAAATGCTTTAATAATAGTCCGCATAATAAAAGCTTGTATTTTACCTAATACTGGACACAAAAACCCCACCCTTTTCACCAGTTCAATAAAGGGAGATTTGTCATTTGACAGCACTGAAGAAACCAGTTGCATAAATTATACTTTGCTAGATACACTTTTTTTTAATTGCATTTAAAGAGACTAATAATTAGATTCAGAACTATCAGTGCTGGTTCCTGCCAAACATAATTATTCTGTGAGGTTCTCAGTATCCAAACAGAAATAAAATTATTATTTAGCAAATTATAAAAATATAAAAATATAAAAATTATACAATCAAATGATTGTTGTTAATAAAATCAATAAAATGTAACCATAAAATGTAACAAATACAATTGACTGAACTATACATTACCCAGAAGGAAAATGCACACAAGATAAAGACTGAGTAATAAAGAATCAGCATTCTGGTGCAGAATCAAACACCCATCTGACACCAAAGCAGGTCCATGACCACATGGTGTAGTCAAGGTTAAGTCACACCTTGAATTGTCTACTGTCACCATGACCTTATAGTTGGGTATTAGCAGATATTTTCCAGTTATAATTAAACTTCTTTTTAAATTATGAATCACTGCTGCTGAAGTAACTTTGCAAAGCCTTGGATCATGATCACATCTGGGTTCATCTGTCCAGCAGCTGGAGCAGAGACTCACCTGCAGAGGGTGTGGAAGAAACAGCAGGGGGAGTTGGAGAGGTGAAGCCATCAGCAAGGGGCTGAGCTCCTGCAGCAGCAGCAGCAGCATCTGGGGCAGCGGAGGAAGGGGCAGGAGGAGCAGGAGGAGTGGGGGCAGGAGCAGAGGTAGCAGGAAGGGGAGAAGTGCCAGCTGAGCCAGCAGGGGCTAAGTGAAGAGAGGAGGAAGAGGTGGAGTTAATAAGGAGATATGTTAGCAAGGATTAGAGAAAGCCTCTGACTATTCCGTGTTAGCTATTTATTAGCTGCACAGTATTTCAGAATGCACAAGATGAGAAAACAATGGGGCTGTTAAAGAAAGGCTCATTCCTGTGTAGATGGTAAATGAGGGTCAAGCAAATCCACTTCTTTCCGGGTCTGAAGGGAACACAACCCAAAACTTTTCAGTGAAAGCCATTACTTCTGAAAGATGTCTTTGCGTTGTGTTATTTATGCTCCAATCTCTAGCATGGCTGTCTTTAGCTTCTGTATGAATTAGAAAATATAAAGACGGAACAGAAAAATTTCCAGCTCTTTGTTTCAGAAGCATCATGTATATTGCTGCAAGCCAACTACAGGCTCTTCTTCACTGAAAAGGCTGAGCAAAGGGAAAAAAAGTACTAATAACACTTCCTACTTCTGGAAAATCTGGGGCCATTACATTGAGCAAGTATCTCTTCGTGACAATTCAGGCTTGCATTGATGTACTCAAGATATACTCTGTGCCTGCCTCTCATTCTAATTTTGTAGACATGCTTCTATGTATCTGCATAAACAGCCAATGAAAAAACATTTAATTGCTTAAAAGGACAAGGGAGAAGTGTCCCTCAGCCCACTGAAAAAGGTGCTGTGTCCTACCTTGTCACATGCAGGCAGCCAGGCAAAAAATTCTGATAAAAAAATTAATACATACAAGGAATATTACAGCACATCAGACACTCTCGGAGAAGATACTACTTGATTCAAACTCGTATTAGCAATAGCAATGAACTCTGGGCTTCCCTTGGATTTTAGGAAACTGCAAAAGCTCAAGGTTAACAATGAGGCAGAAAGAGGAACAAGAAGTTTCCATTTACCTGGATAGACACTAGGAGGAGATGGTGTGGGAACAGCAATGGGAACACCTACACTTCCACTTCCACTGTTCTCTCGACTGCTGCTCCGACTACTTGGGTGGCTTCCTCCACTACTGCCACTGCTGCTGTAAGAAACCAAAGCAACCAGGGTATGAATATGCTGCTGTTCATGCTGAAACATAAGATCCCTCACAGAGCATCTTACAAAATCAGAGAAGTAACAGGGAACAAGAGAAAAGAAACAATATAAATCTATACAAAGCTGGCCTTTCCTGAGACTCTCCACTTCGACTGCAACACAAGAGGCTTTTTTTGCAGTAAGTTAGCCTTAGTGAACTTGCCCAAAAATTAAACACTTCCAGAACCTTGTTCAAAGCACATCATTCCAGGGTTGTTAAGCTCCTACAGAGCAAATACACAAATTTTTCCTTAACTTTAAAACTTAAGAATGCTTAGACTGTGATTTGTATGCTTTCATAGGAGACAACTAAAGCCTAAAAGTTTTAAGACAGTAAAATTCAGATTTCTTATCTTTTAAGTCCACTTGTTTACCCATCTTCAAGTGCTTACTATGTTTAAAAAGATTTCAAGGAAGTATTTAGATCTATCACATCATGAAACTAATTATCCTAGAGAAAAAGCTAGTCTGCTGCAGAGCCTCTGGTAATGCAGTTTAGCTTTATTCTGTTTGAAGTCATCAATATCCCCAAAACACTATGGTACAATTCCAGCTATTCAACAGCAATAAAAATAAATAAATCAAGCTATTAAACAGCAAAGACTGTTCAAAAAATGTCAAGTATCTAAGAGCCTTTCAACATGAAGAAGGCAAGTTGTGTACAAGGTCTTCCCCCCGTTTGGCAATCGTTCAGTAAAATAGTATCATGATCTACCTCCTTGAAAGACTTCACAATCTTAGTAATTCATTAAGTACTCTAAGTGACAGCACTAAAACTGAGGTGAACAGGGGATTAAGTGAATAATTTTAACACGATTCTTTAACACGATTCCCTATTCTGGCTTTTTTAGAGCTCATTCTCATCATGCAAAGGAGATTCCCAGTCCACAGGATGAAGGAGGGAGCTTCCCAGCAGAGACAGGTGGATTTACTGTTGAGCACAGCAGTTTCCATCCCTGCGGTGCGGGCCATGCGGTGCCCCTGAAGGGGCGGTGCTGCTCTAGGTGCGGTACCTGTAGGTGCGGTTGCGCTGGTTGACCGAGGCGGTTCTGACAGGGCTCTGCTGGGCCGGGGCCATGGTGCGCGTCGGGCTCGGTACGTAATCGTTGGGCACCACCGGGGGCCGCACCGGCTCCAGCGTGCGGTACGGGGAGTGCCGCCTGCACAGCACAAGCACACGTCACAGCCAGTTAGGGTAACACACACAAGCCCAGAGATTTCTCACTCCTTCAAAGACAGTTACATACTAATCAGGTACGTGAGCTTAAAAAATGGGCTTTTTCCATAATTTTACAGTACTTATTTCGTAGAACAAGGGGGAAAAAAAACAATTAAGGGTGTTCTTCATCACACACCAGCAAACAGCACTCATCCCACTTATAACACATTTTCCTATGGTCAAAAACTAAGGTCAGGTTCATAAACTTTACTGTAAAGTACTTTCAACAAGCAAGCACAGCACAAATAATTAATGAACAGTGCCATGTACTCATTTTTCAGTTGTTTAGCACCACCTGCAAAAGCCACAGCTAATGACATTTTACTCTAAAGTATGTAATTGTTAAGTGTTCAGCACTGAGAAAAAGGTTCCTGTTGGGAAAGGCTCATGATGCCCACTGTCTTCAGGCAGCAGCACACTAACATACAAACACGTGATCGGTGTAAGAGGATGCGGATAACGTCTCTTGGCCTCTGTGAATGGTTAAAATGAAACCATGAAACCTCTCCCACTACAGAAAAAGAAAGCATCTTCCCTCTTTTCCCTTCTGTTCATCCACTCAGTAACCGCACTTACCCAATAGTTCCTTTTCCTGACATTGGTGGACTTGGTGGCTTCTGGGTGGGTGGTGTTGTGCGAGGCAGCCCACCCATCTTCATGTTCTGGGTGCTGACCTGCATGAAAGAACGGGGAGAAAAACGGCCTTCACTGAGCTCAAGGTCAAAGGAAAAGACACTGAGATGCCTTTAGCAATTAACTCTAAGTAGGGGAAGGTTGAAACAAACAAAAATATTGAGAGGCCATGCGTTTTATATGCAATTTCCACTCTGCTAGAAGTCAAGAGTTGAGCTCAAAGGACTCTTTATTACATAGTTTTTAGAAATTGTACAAAAAAGTGAATTTGCCTTCAGGTTATCACATAAATATTAAATCTCTGAGAATACAGACACTGTACCTAACTTGGCTGAACCTCCCAGTCATTATTTGAGAAAAAGGCAGTTATTTCACATGGCACTACTGAATGGTAAATTTTCAAAAATATTTTTGAACACTGTTCAAAAATACTAAGGCTTATCTAAATAGGCCACAATCTAATGTAATTTATACAGATATGGAGAAGTCAAAGTACTCTATAAATATTACCCATTGTTTTAATGTTTTCACAGCTTATAAAATCTTTTCAAGATATTTACTTTAAATATTAGTTACATTAGTAAACATACAGAGAAGGCTGTTCTGAGAAAAGTACAAATGTGGTTTTTCCCCCCCCCATTAAATCTGTACCAATTTCATCTCTTAGAGTTTATAAATAAATGGACAGGTAGAAAAACATTTAGCAGTGATGTGATATAACTGCAGTAAAATAATTTACTCTAACTTCTTTCAAAAACTCATTTGCATTCCTGACTGATTGACTAATCTAGGAATTGTAAACAATTGTTACCCATGTGCATTTTGCTTCTCTGTAGTCTGCCAGCCAAGCAAAATTCCCTCAATGCACACATCCTTACAGGAATCAGTACACAGTCTGCTTACAAAACAGCTCGGATTTATGACTGCCTGAGCTACTGCTTAGGCACAGAGTCACTCAGCAAACCTAAACAAGTGTGCTTACATCCCTCTCTCTTCTTTCTGCCATTCTCTATCTCACAGAGTTTCTTCTTTCTAAAACATAGGTCCTGGCTACTGCCTCCACCTCCCATAGAAAAATGAAACAGTGATCAAGGCACGCAAGAGTATTTGCAAACATTATCGAAGGCAAATTATTCCTTCACAATTTGACTCTAACAACTCACTTAAAACCTTGGCAGTGTTTAGATTTGTGAATTGATAAATATTGACAACAATATAAAGAGTAATACATTCAGTATTCTAATCCACTGAAACTTGATTCTCTGGCTCTAAGTAATCCCAGTGCTATCACATTTTCAATCTGCAGGGAGGAAAAGCAAACCTAAGCATTGGAAGGGGTATTTTTTTCAGATTCAAAAACAAGCATTTGGATTTAGTTGTGCAAGAGTACTCTGTAAAGTCAATTTAAGACAAAATTATTTCGCACAGCATTATAAAGTCCTTTAAGCCAACTCTAAGCAACAAGAAATCTAAAGTTAATTCAAGTGAGGGATGAGGTAAGCACTGAACTACAACTACTTGAAGGGAAAAGGGGAAGTGTAAAATGAAATACATTTTATTCTATACACGGAACATTTAAGAAATAGCAAAATCTGAATTTTTTTTTTAAAGTTGCAGCACCCCCTGTATTTCCTCTTCCATTAAACATGCCTGTTTCACCCACCCACCTATTTGAGTTTAAAAAAAAGAACAAACACACAAACAAACAAAATCCACCTTAATTAAATGTTTACTGAATTGTCCCTTGCTGTTTTTCAAACAGCCAACTCAGCCTCTGCTTTTGGATGTGTTTAGATGACAGACCAATCTGTGTGCCCCTGAATAGTCCATTTAGGGGTTTTAACTGGCTACACTATTGTTTCTCATAAGATGATGTAACCACTGGCTATCACTTTACAACTAATATAAAATCCCATATATTTGATACAAATAATGTTATTATTTTATATACCATGACTGCAAGAACAACAATGAATTTCTAGCCATCCCCAAGGCTACAGCTACATGAAAAGGCAGGACGACTGAGGCGGAGGATGCTGGAACATCACACCGGGTACAGCCAGAAGTGGAGGCAGCACTCGCCTCACTAACACAGAACTCCAGTGACTGCTTGGTATTTTCACTAACACTACAGAGATCCTTGACAAGAATGCGAAGAAAGCTTTAGAAAATGTGGCCAAGCAAAAAATTATCCCTTTTTAGCCCAGGAACTTAGCAAAAAGAAGCCATCCTTTAAAAAATCTAACCTGGAAGATTAGAAAATTCACTGACAGTAGGTTTAGTTTCAGGGTCTTGGAAATTACTTTTCAACATTGAAATTGAAATGTTCAGAGAGCAAGTAATTAAAATTTACAGGGCTGTCTTCAAATCTGACAGGACCAATGGCTTTAAGATCAGCTACTCTAAGTTAAACAACCCTGTGCAAGTAACTTCCCTTGGACTTACTGCCAAATAATCACAGAAGAGAAATTAAAAATATACAATTATTTCAACAATTCTGATCAAAATGGACAGATCCTTGGAAATAAAATCATGCAAGATGCTAAAAAAAATGAAAATTGCACCAACTACAACTGAGATTAAAACACCGTAATATAAACAGCTGTCTCCTTCTATAATGATTTCTACTTGGGGCAGAAGGAATGCCCCCACTCTTCCAAACTTCACTTTATTGCCTTTTCTATTTTGCACATATGGTTGTAAATACAGTTTCCATACACAAATCCTCACCCACACACATCCATCTTACAAAGATCTAAAATCTGAAGCAACCACCAGAACTCAAGGTCACATTTGCATTTGCTGTCAAGTTAAAAAATTCCTTTTTCTGGAGTAAGCTGGTATTTGCCAGAAGTTGCACTGTTTCAGACATCATTTCTCCTGGTTCTGCACAGCTGGAACTAGCCAGATGCAGCTGATTTAATGAGAGGGTGAAAGCAGAGGAATGCATCTGTCTGATGGTGGTTTTTTTTTGACTGCAGGACCCCCCCAGGGCTGAGGCTGATTTCTAGTTTAAATCTTGCAAATTGTTTTAAGAAAATGCATAGCAAAAGAGAGCCTGCAACCAGAAAAACAAAGGAGTATCTGTCTCTGCCTTTCCTCACAACTGCACAGTTAACCAGCCAACCACTGTGTTTAGAACAGGAAAAAATAAGAGAGGCAGTAATGACTTGGGCACAAAGCTCAGGAAAAAAACACAGCTGACTGGTGTAAAAGGAGGAAGACAACCCTGTAAACAGACAAGTAGGGCACAGGGTCTGTGCTGAATGTATGCAGGGATTTTTCAAATAAATTTTCTTTTCCTCTTTCACAGAAGAAAAAAAAAGTAAAAAACATTACCAAGATAAGTTGTGGAACACCAAACAGTTCTAGTGAGATCTTGGTTATTTTTTTTTTTTTTTACTTGATACCTTGCAGAAGCTTTTTACAGAATTAGCAAGCAAATGCACCACAGAAAAGTATTTTCTACCAAAGCTGTAACTTTGTCAGCAATGGAGCTGAATTTGGAAGTTTTGCTGAGGAAGAAACTACAGAAACTACTTAAAAAGCAGATCCTTGGTAAGTAAGACATCCTAGAAAATGCTCTGGGATCCAGCCCCACAGTAACAGCTGTAAAATGAACTGTAAAGAAATGGATCCCTATGGACCATTCTGTTTCAAAAGGGTACAATAGTATTTCATCCAATATTTTCTAGTACTGAGCTACAGTTTTAGAAAGGTACCATCTGATGACTTCAAGACACAATATGGCAGTGACTAGAGCAGAAAAAACTATCCTCTTAAGTTTAATTTTTTTCATAATTAAGACTTATTGGCCAATTTCTATTTTTGGCAACTATTTTTTCATAGATTCCAGTGATTAAAACATCATCTTATGGTCCTACATATGACCGAGTTTCCTTCATAGTTACATTTTTATCAGCATGTAACATACTGAGTTTCTTTAGGACTCCCCAGTCTAGGGAATTTGTGCTGAGATAAATTGGCTAAAACTGATAAATTCTGCTGTTCATTCAATTCAATTCTTGTGAATATTTTCACAAGCCAAAAAAAAAAAAATAAAAAAAATCATTGAACAGGAAGTGCAGAAATACATAGTTGGTCAGATAGGAGAGCTTGTCAAGAGACTGCAAAAACTATCTGCATCCATGTTCTGTACTTATACAGACATGAGGCACTTACCTGCAAGAAAGCAAGCAAGGTGGGCTTTTTGGGAGTTTGGGGTGTTTTTGGTTAGTTGGTTGTTTTTTTCTCCCCCAAAATAACAAATACCAGATATTCAACACAATCAGACCTCAGGAGGAGCTACTTCTAAAGCTGGACACAGCCAGAAATTTTAAAGTGGTGCTTTACTTTCACACTGCATTTCCTAGAACTTCCAGGATGTCAAGAGAATAGTTTTTTGCCTGAAACCTAGTAAGAAAAAGCATCCCATCAGCAATGTTTCACAGATTACATTCAGAAACTTCACGCAGTTCCTCAACCTTCTTGAGCAATTTCACATCCAATTACAGGAAAAAACAACTGAAGGCTGAATGAAAACTTCCTTTCCATGCCTTGCTTCATCTTGTTAACACTACAGAGATGATTAATAGATTTTTGGCCCATCATCTGCTACCTCAAAGTGAGTTTCTTTTCAGGCTGTGCTCAGCCACTCAAATAGTTACTGTGTATGTCTAATCAAACCATTTGCTTGTCAGCTCATTAACCAGTTTATATGGAAGTGAAATGTATAAATTTCAGCCCTGTTTTGGTAAATGACCACAAGTAGAAGCTTCTGCAAGTGAGCTTACTTTTTTTACCAAATCCACCCATGTAAAGTGAATTGAAGAAACAAACCTGATGAATGCAAAAAGGCTTAATCAATGTCATTTTCAATTGATTTTCCTCGGCCTTGTAACTGAAATTTTCTTCAAAATCTGTTTAAAATTTAAGTTACTCAGACACAAATCCAATACTACAGTAAGTCAGTTTAATATTATAGTTGTTAGGTAAGGCTAAGGGGTTTTTGCAGTCACAAAAAAGAAACGCAGGCTAAACTTTATAGCAAATCACTTTTAAGTGAAGCCAAATAGCCATTCACACAGAACTGGGGTTACTAACCGCTTATCAGTCTTCTTTCAGCCTGATGCACAGTGACTACAGTGAGACAAAGAATAACTTGGATCTACTGAGAGATGCTGTGCTGTTTTTTGCCTTTTCTCTTTTAAACCCTCATGTTTTACCAATGAGGAGTTGACTGACAATATTTGATTCGTCAAATCAAATTTCTAATTGAGTTCACTCTAGTAAATAAAGAAATGGTGTTATAACAAAAAATGTTATAACAGGAAAACCTATAAACAGGAAAAATATTTACTCTGAAAAGCAGTAGAAACTCTTATTGCCACTGCAGATAATGCACAGATATATCCGTTCACATATAATATATAATTACAATTTTAAAACTTCTTAGGATAGTCATTATTTGTTCATAAACTGCAACTGCAGAAAGCAGCAAAGAAAATAGAGTTTGCAAATTTTTTTAAGAATACTGAGAAAACCATCATCCAATATTAAGTGTGTCCAGAATAAGACATATTCAGCATCAAAAGTACCCATTTTATGTAAACAGGCAGTAAAAAACCAGGGAGGAGACCTAATTTGCCATTCTCAAATTAAAAGCATGTAAACACTAAGTGAGTTGAAATACTGTACACCTCACACACCTTTGTAAAAATAAATTTCAAATTACATGTGAGAATTCTCTCATAAATTAAAAGTTTTCCACTGTTATCAGAGATGCTACATACACTTAAATGCCTGACTAAAAGTACCATCTGTCCAATTTCACAGGGACATCATGGAGATATCTACAGAAATACTTGGTTTTACAGACAATCTCAGGAATCTGCAGGATTTTCTTTTAGCTTTTTCCAAGCATAGAAAATACTTAAAAATATTTCACGTCAACTTGAAGCTTCCTTTAATTAATATACTCATTCTACATATTGGCATTCTAAGTTCTGTAATACAGTTCCCTCATTACAACAGTGGCACCCACTACTAAAAAACTTCCAGACCCTCTTTCACCAAACCAGTTGCACTTCAGGAGGAGGAGGAGATCATCACACTCAAAGGCTATAACCTAGCTATTAATTAATGTACTATGAACATCACCATAATATTATAGAACTTAATTTAACTGCTTGCTAATTGATTTGATGCTTTTTATTGCTGCTTCTGCAGCCACTAAGACTGCTAACATTTAAAGAATTTGACATACTTCAGCCTGAGTTCTTTGATGCACTATTCTTTTAATATTCAACTAAATAAATCACTTGTATTGTTGTTTAACAGTTACTAAGTTACTAAGTTCACACAATTATGACATTTCTGGAAGTTTCCATATGCGAGTCCCTCTGAGTATTTAAGCACTGCTATCAGTGTCTGAAAAAATTAAGAATACTGCAACTTTAAAAAATAATATACAGATTTGAATTTGTTACACACCTTTGGAGCCCATTATCTGAGCAATATCACACTAAAGCATTAATCCAAATCAAACCATAACTTACACCGTATATAGGATAAAAAGAATATTACACAGGGGGAGGCTCATATTCAGCTGCTATCTAGTCCATGTATACTTTGGTTGACACAAGGCTAGCACAATATCCCTCCCTCATACATGATCTGCTAGATATGCTGAGGGCAGCTAATATTTTACCACAAAGCTTTTAAAATTACCTGTGTTAACCTCCTTTCATATGCACATCAATTTATATCACAAAATGCTTATCCACAATGAGTTACTCAACAGTAGTTCTGTGACACAGAAGGGAGAGCAGGTGTTGTTTTAAACAATCAGTAGCACTGATGTCAATCATCTCCCCGTGTGTAATAATCTCAGAAGAAGAATGGAAATCCAGCCCTGGGGTTTCTTACCTTAAATCTAAGCAACCACTTAATGCATAAATGGAGCAAATAAAAGAGGTAAGGAAAAAAAGCATTGAAAGGTTAGTTGGAACTTCAGGATATGAAGAGAAAGGAAAAAGAAAGAAAAAAGTTAAGCATTCAGCATTAACAAAATAATGTATCAGTAGATCATAGAAAGAGTGGTTAAAGCAGAATGTCATGAACAAAAGATCTTCAAGGTGAAACTTTTAATATACATTGACAACAAAGCCTTTAAATTATTACTTTAAATCAACATTCAAATGCTTGTACACTGTTTACTCAAGCTCTTACAGTGCTAAAAAAAAGGCAGCTTCTTTCAAAATGTATCACGAGGCCTAGATGGATTAACTTCAGAGATTAATTTATTTGAGCTGCCAAAGACTAGCCTTATCAATGAGCCTGAGCTAATTCAAATTGTTTACATGCATTAGCACATTTATAAGTAGCTGAAATGGAAGCTTTAACATATTACGGTAATGTATGTTCTTTTCTAGAGAATGCTGTTAGTTAACTTGGTGCCATGAGATCTCTCTTGAACAAAGATCAAGAGCAAATCATTATGTCTTGTAAGAAGTACAGCACTCTTTATGGATACTGTACCACATATCCACGTTTCCTGAACTATAAATTAAGACATTAATCAACTGCAAAATCTTACTTTAAAGCCTAAGTGCTAGCTTTTTGACACCAAGTTTTGCATCTTACTGGCACAATATCATACATCTTTCTCCATAACAATTTATTTTAAAATTACTTGTCCGTCTCTTTGAATTATCTGCTTTTAGTTCAATTCCTCTACATCTATCATTAAATTTGTTACACTGTCTGCAGCACTGAGCAGTAAATATTCAGGTAAATATTTAAATATTCAAATAAATAATTATTTAAATATTTTGATAAACAGTAGAGCATCCAGAGTGACTGATTTGTTCCATCAATTTAGAAGTGACCCTGCTCTACTAAAAAATCATAATCTGATTTACTAGAAAATCTGTCTTTGAATTTAAAGTTCTGTGGATCAATTAACCAATATAGGCTCTGCCTTGTACAGCTACACTGGAAAACCAGGCCCCCCTGTACTGGGCACCATGGTCAGTTACAAGGGAAGGTCCATCTGCAGAGACCTCAGCAACACTGCCTGGTAACTACAATGCCTTAATAAACACCTCTCTGAAGGGAGCACATATTTTTTCCCCATTCTCTTGACTGAAGAACTCTTTGGCAGGAACAATAGGTTGGAAGACTTTGTAACTTGGGAAACATTTGAAAAAAATTGAAAGCAAGTCTCTTTCACACAAAAGATTCTTTAGGTTTTTGCAGCATTGTAGCTTCAGGGAGGGGAGATGAGGAGGGACTGCTGGAATGATACAGAGGCACTTGAATTCTCTCACACCTATTTAGGAACCATTCTGCAGAGCAACACTTCCTGAACATTGTCTCTACTACGCTTCAAATTTCTGAATGGAAGGAGTAAGATGCTTGAGGGCCTCTTAATATTCCACTTCTCTCAGTATGGTATACTGAATTTCTCGGCCAAGAATTCTCCTTTTCATTCCTATATTACTCTGTCCAGCTTGCCATCTTTCTCAGGGGCTGCAACGAATGTCTGCTGCCATCAGCACTATGCCTGTCCTGAAAATACATTATTCTGGGTCCAAGTACTGGAGCAGAATCCCTTCAGCAGAAAAAGGACAAAGAATGCAGACTGAGGAATCCTGATGCTAAGTGTAACGCTGTTTATGCAGCAACTCCTGAATGCTCACTTGAAGGGAAAAGTATCACAACTCAAACAATAAAGAGCTATAAATAGGCAAATGTAAAGCTTCTACCTATCTTTTTTTCTCTCTGTTCTACAGCCAGAGATATGATAAACTAATCTGTAGTTACTCAGGCAGAACAAAAACAGGTTCATAAGCACAACTGGCCACCTTTTCCCCCATCAGCAAGAAAGCTGTTATTTCTTCTGTCCTAAACACAGGATTAACCTGATTGGAACACATTTACTGTCTTAAGGATAGCATGACTTCAAGTTCTTTGATTATTGTTTCACAAGGACACAACACTTCTTTTCCAGACAAACATAGTGCATGGTGAAAGTAATTTAAGTCTATCACAAGCATAACAAATGGATGTAAAACACACTCAAGTCATCATCCATCCGATGAACTATGCTCTTTCAGAAGAACGTAATTCATTGCATCTTAGTATGACTGCAACATTGAGGTAAGTGGGATACCAATTATAATGATTGAGAGCCAGTGCTAAATAAGATTGTGCTGCAGAGCAATTAAAAACTATTCTTTAATGAGTTCTAAAATTATCTCCCTAAAACAAAAAGCGATGATTAAAATATTAGCAACAGCAATCCTACAGGTTAAGATGCTCCATCCATATCCAGAAGGAGGTCTGATGACCTGCATAAATTCAAAATCAATAGCAGATTTTAATACACAACTGGTAATAATTTCCTAGTCAAAACTGTAGTTATTAAGGTTTGGTATGCTTTTTTGTTTGTCCTTTTTAAAATCTGTTCAGAGGTTGATTCTTTGGGTAAGAAATGGGGGGAAGGAGACTTCCCGTTAACAAACAGGATGTTGAAAAGACCTTAAATAAAATTCCTTGGGAAAGATATTTAAATCAAACTGCTCTGAATTTGAATTTTAAAAGTTAGGTTGAATAACCTATTCCCATTTAAATGGCCATCCAAGCAGACAAATCAAATACGACAACAGAGATATCCTAATCCAGTTACATGTCAAGTAAAAGAAATTCTGGTGTACCTTGACTGGAAGAAGCATCTTACCTTACTGCTACTTAGCAGGTTTACAGATTCATTAGTTTGCCTTGTAAAAATGACATCACTTTGTGTTATTTACCTTTCATTTCCTGGAACTTTAATACTGTCAGTGTTCTCATTTCCGTAGTTGTTTCCCTGGCACCACAAGTTAATAATGAGCTCACACCTGATAAGAGTGTGTTTATATTCAGGATGTATCTAACCACATTATATTACTGCTGCTCTGTACATCAAACAGCCACCAGGTGTGTCTCAGTCTGATCTCTGCCCTGAAACTCCTTTTTTCCTAATCTTGAAATGGCAAACCAGCTGGCTTTAAACATGGCAGTAATATTCCCATCCCAAAACCCCATATGGCACAGAAGTTGTTGAGAGCTCCCTTTAACAAAGCACGTCACTGGGTTTGTATATAACTGACCCTGGCAAAAAGAAGAAAAGGGAGTCCATAACACACCTCATGCAAACCCTTCCTTTGAGTAAGTGTCGAAGTAAACCAGTGGCAATTACAGCTGGATCACACTCTGTGGTGCTAACTCAGGCAGAAAAGTGATGGTCATTAGCTCTTCAGTCCCCATATACATATCCCTGGCAACTGACCCAAACAATAATAGCAGCATCACACAAGTTGATATTCAGAATCAGTTTAAAAGGTGAGACTCAGTCCCAACGAGAAATGAGATTAAGTGAGTTTGCAACATTTAGAAACAATGGGGCAAGAGAAGGGGAAGGCACAACTGGAAATCGGACAGGACTCCTCTCATGTTTATAGACACATTGTCCAGGCAAGGAGAAACTGGTATATTACCATGAAAAGCATCAGATAATTTTGAAAATATACAAAGACAATGAATTTGCAGTTTGGCTGTTTTAACAATATCACCTACCTTCACTCCATGTCCAATATCATCTAGAATTGTATAATCAATAGGTTTCCTGATGTAGCGAACTGGTCGCTCCAAGTTAGCTGGTGCAATGATTTTGTGAGTTCTTGAGGTGTTTTTGTTTGTAGTCAAGATACCAATTTCTCTTCTAGCAACTTTCTCTTTGTGAATGTCCACCGTCTACAAAAGACGCAGTGTATTTACTAACAGTGGTATGCATTGGAACACAGAGTCAGTATTAAAAAAAGTTAAATCAGTTCTAATGGTTCAAAAATCTCTACACTGTACTAAACATATCACTACATACTTATTACATCATCTGTCTTCAACTTAATGCTGAATTTGCCACCTCTAAAGCCACACCAATAGTGGGGGGGGTTTTTGGATTTTCTGTTACCCTCCTTCTCCTTTCCAATCTTAGTAGTTTGCATAATTTACTGACACTGTTTTATAAGACTCCTTCACTTATCCTTTTTTATTTTACAACTGCTCTCTGAGCTTGTCTTTGGCATAGGCTTCAACCAGATGAAGTGTAAGGATGCCTTCCCAAACCTTAATTTTAAGACCTGAAAAACAAACCATACGCAGGTTTTCTTACACTGTAAAAGTTTGCTAAATTAGGACTGGTAATACTATGATAGAATAAAATTTCACTTGGACAAATCAAGGAAGTATTTCAGTCATTACAACTCACTTATCACAAAGCAATAATTATATTTTAGTATGTGTTCCATACTAATTAATCCACAATAAAGCCAGAGGTTAAGCCCATTGTCTTCCCTTTGGATGCCACGGGCCAACACTGGAAATCCCTCCCTTTATATATTAAAATCAGTACCACAGGAGAATCCTTGGTGTAAGACAAAGTCCTGCTGAAAATTAATTGCCTAAAAACATGTACATGAATCTTGTTAGGTAACAAGTAAGAAAATGCTACGAAAAAGCCACTTATCTCTTCCAGGAAAATATAAACCCTTAACTCATGGGCCATGGAGTTCCTTGACTTGTTTAAACCAAAAATAATTGCTTGTTCACAAAATAGCTTTCAATATAGGAAATTTGCTCAACTGTGAACAAAAGTTTTAGCTACAGGATAAAAAACAGAAGTAAAAACATCCAGAACCACCACAAGGATTTCTAAACACTCACAGATTCTTTTTACCACTTTAGTGATCATGAATGGCACTAGAAACACTTTTCACAGTTTTGAACCAGGCTTTGTAGTAACTTGGGAACAGGTACAAATGAGAACTCATTTTCATAACACACATTTTTGTCTATTTTATTTTTCTGTTGGCAGGCACTGGAGCAGTGGGGTTGGCTACACTGTTTAACCTGGCTGTTAGCGCTACTGATACCAAATCAAGCTAATAGAACCTGTGCTACTTTGAACAATCATCACAACTTTTAAAATTACAAAAACAATTTTAGAAACCCCAACCAACCCACAAACTACTTCCAGTAAGTTGTTTCTTTGCATTATTTCCGGAGAAGGATTTCCACAAATACCTGAAGCATTACATGTGAGCTTATAATATTATCATCAAGATTGCCTAGTATCTCCCAGCAACATATCTTCAAGATTTTGTAACTTTGCCAAAATTAAGCACTAGCTACAGCTTTGTCATGCACATTCTGCCACCTCTCTTTCCACCTGCCTAGAACTATAAGGTTTCCACTACAGGTGCATAGCTATTTCTTGAAATAAAACTACAGAAAAACAGATTTTAAGGTCGAAATGTATTGGCAAAACTATTTTTGGAAAGCTCGAATTTGTTGAGCAGTGATTTGAAATTTAACAGAGGTAGTTAAACTATCTGGGACATCCACACAAAAACTCACCCAGATTTGGCCAATATATAAATTCTGCATAAATGCACAGTTCACACAAGTATAACAGAAACATTTCTGCAACTATTTAACAACTAAATCACCCTCCAATGAATTTGCCACGGTCCTTTCTGAAGCACCCCGAGATGACCAGGACTACACATCAACCCCCAATACAGCAGTGCAGATCAGATCTTCACAGCTCTTACAGTGCTATATTTATGGTACAAGCACAAGTGCAAAGAGAGCACACCAACATTTTCCAGACCAGAGTACCTAAAGTACATCATTCTCATCAGGGTAAGATGTAAGACTTCATCTTCCATCTCAGGCCTTTAGCCCTTCTCTGTGCTAGACCTTTGCTTTTGCAGCATAGGGAATAGGAGCACAAGTTCTGGAAAAGATGGTCTACAGCCTCCTCACCTCACCAGTCAGAGGGCACATAGGCACATGTGGTAACTGACTAAAGAAGCTGAAGATAGGTGATGGCAACAACGTGGGAGGACAGTCTCATGTTTGATACCACTGACAAATTCAATCTCTACTGCAGTAGAGAAATTTATCTGTGGTCTAGACACATCACTGCAGAACTGCAGATACGACTCTTGTATGTTCTTTGTCTCACAGGCCCCTGATAGATATCATTTGCTAGCATGTGAAAAAACTTCAGCTGCAATAGCAGCTTCAGGATGTACTGGAACATCAAAATCTTATAGGTCTGAATCTGGTCCTTCAAAACAGTTTCATACCTTGGGTATTGCACTCAGAGCCTTAATTTCAATCCACAAATCAAAAAGGAAGTTATTAGTGCAGGGTTGGCAAGATGATTTCTCATTTTCTATTTCAAGAGTTAGAACTCTTCAACTTTGAATATGTTCTTTCAGTACTTTCTTATGTAATTATCTACTAATACAATGCAAGTACAGATATTAATGCTCACGTTACTGTAGCAATGGTATCCTGGCACTGTGCAAAGCCGTTTCCATGAATGAAGAGTGGGTTTTCAATAGGAGCCACAAGTACAACCAGCTTCCTTAAGGACTTTGGTGATCGTAAGGCATGACTACAGTAACAAACAATGAAGTGCATAAAACCCAATTAAAACCTGAAGCTCATCTGGTGGGATTTCTCTTGCATTATGATTCAGAACATCTCTTCTAACTTGAATACCTATGGAATGACTAAAAGTATACAAATGGCACCTAATTCTAGTCCACACACCTAAGATGGTATCGAAAAGCACTATGCTGGCAGTTTTCCAAACATTTCATTTTCTTGCTTAGTAGACTATGAAAGTCATGAGATCCTAATACACCCATAAAATAGCACAAAGTTCCATTAGTAGAGGGGGTAACAAACATTAACCTGCTACTGAAGAAAATGAAAACATTTATCCTCAACACACAGGTAATTATTACCTCCAGTACTAACATAAATCCCTTATCAAGGCAGGAGAATGCACCAAAATGTTTATTCATCAGTTTACAAAGTTCTAACAAGAAGTTTTTGGGGTTAGAGCCGGACTAACAAAACACTTGGCTTGAAAACTGTTGGAAAAAGCAGATGGGATACACTGTGCCCTTCTAAAACTTAAAACTTGTTTTCTAACAAGAAATTGTGGACACCTGACAGCATTATTATGATTTTAAAAATTTGTTTAACATAGCTCCATTAGCTTTGGCAAAAGTTTTTAAGTGACAGTTTGTTAGAGGTTAGGCTCATTACCATCATCTTTTTGTATGCTTTCCAAGATCCCTGCAATACCCAGGGAGAGCAGAAGGTGAAAAATAAGTATGAACCACTGCATTTTTTTCTATTAGGAATTTTCTGGCCATTTTGAAACATCAGGTTTTCATACTGAATTAAACAAAGCCAATCTCAAGCTCTGCAAATAATAAAACGAAAAAACACATGAAAAAATTTCTGGGAAAGTTAACACTACTCACAAGTTCACTTAAATCACTGAACTCATGAGTTTTGAGAAATATTCTCTTCTACCAGTAAACAAAACTTCTCAAAGTATTAAGTTAGCATTGAACTAACTAAAGTTAGTTTTGGTTGGGACAGAATTAATTTTCTTTGCAGAATGGGGCAATATTTTGGATTTTTGCTGTAAACGGAGCTGATAACTCCAGGATGTTTTAGTTACTGCTGAGCAGAGACTGCAGAGTCAAGGCCTTTTCTGCTCCCCATCCCACCCACCACTGGGTAGCCTGGGTTGCACAAGAAGCTGGGAAGGGACCCAGCCAGGACAGCTGGCCCTGCTGACCCAGGGGACGACGCTCCATGTGGCCTCATGGTCACCAGCACCAGGCTGGGGGAGCCTGGCTGGGCACTGCTGCCTGGGGACTGCCTGGGCAGCGCTCAGCGGCTGCTGCTGAGAAACTGCCTTCATTTGCAGCCTTTCTTCTTGGGTTCTATGTCTCTCTTAAATATTAATTTTCTATATTTTTATTATCACCATCATTATTAAACTGTACATATCTCAACCCACAAGTTTTCTCACTTTCACCCTTCTGATTTTCTACCCATAGCCTGGTAGGGGCGAGTGAGTGAGCAGCCACGTGGTGCTTAGTTTCCAGCTGGAGTTAAACCACAACAGCAAGCTGAAAGTCTAAATTACAGGGAAATTTCAGAGATAAGAGTCTCCAGAAGCCTTCATTTCTTCCTCTTCTCAAACCATTCTAATTTAAATTTATAAATTAACTGTCAGTCTGTTAGTCTGAGCTTTTAAAATTCAGTTTCAAAAATCTTAGAAGAAAATGTTGCTTAAATATAGTATTGCTGGGCTTTCATTTTTTATCGATCTTATTAATTTGACACAATTCAAACTAATTGCAAATTACCTTGAAAATTGGATTATTACTTTAAAATTGGTAACTGCCTAATTCTGACATGTTAGAAATGTGACATTAATTGTCTCGAGTTGCCTGTAATTTATACACAAAAAAAAAAAGAGATCATAAATACTACAAAAATGCTGAAAAGCTCCTTGTTCCATTAACAGGTAATATGCACTGTGCAAAATTTGCCTTGCATCACCATTTTTTCAAGTCTTTTGCTATTCTCGTGCCTTGCAAGAATAAGACAACCGAGAAAGGTCACAAACCTTTACTGACTTCAGTGGAAAGTCCAAGTGAACTTCGCTGCAGAGACTGAGCAGCTCACAGATGCTGCTACAGCCCAGCTAAGCAGCACCTGCTGCCTGCAGAGAATCCAAGCCTGCGGTGTATTCAATGCCTGTTCTCACAGCCAAGAGCATGGCAGTCAGTTCTGTAAGGCGAGGATGCAGCAAACCTCCCCACAACACAGTGCCACTGGAGAAAACTCAGCACTACCACTCATCTTTGTGATAACGTGCTCGTTTAGATAATTAGCAGCAGTTTTTAAAATGACCTTGCTAAGTAAGAGATTCTGTAACTAAACCTGAAAAAAACATTTCTCATCATACAAATATTAAAACCTGAAAATCTGCTGGATTAATTTAAAGAATTTGGATGTTAGTAAAATTTCACAGTGGCTGCTAACTTGAAAGCTGCAAGATAATTTTTTTAACAAGCATAAATATTTATACATATGATCCGTATTTAAGACTTAAATTCTTAGTCAAATATGAAACACTGTGTATCATCTAGTTCTGGACAAGGTTCAAGAAGGCAAGTAAAAATAGATTCATCAGCTTTCAGACCAAACCAAAGTAATGCTAATTTTTAAACCAATAGGATTTAATCACTGGCATAAAAATAGTTTCAATAGTAACAATTTCCTTATTCACAACCTATATATAATTTGAAAAAGCACAAATGATTATCAGCTTCCTTTCCAGCTCTTTGAGTAGGCTGGCATTTAGAAGGAAACACAGAAAGGGATATAAATTGGCATTCTACCAACAAACAGAAAACCAGAGCATTTTATCTTAAAACGTTAATCACACCTCTCCCAGTCTGAGCTACTTGTACAAAACAAGCGCTCTGGGAAAAGTTTTCATACCAAGAATCAAATGATTCTGGTCCCTTCTTTGGAGAACATGTGGAATCCCAAACCAGAATTTAAAGCAGGATTCCATCCATCCACAATTTGCATGTAATGTTTTCTAAACTTAAATACCAAGACCTACTGACCAAAGCATTAATGCTAAATTAATTTACCACCTGTAATTACCAACCTGCTTTCTGTTCTATGTTACTATGTTTCTGTTTCTGTTACTATGTTACTACATGACTTCATTTCAAGTCAGGCTGACTGAAATCCTAATTTGTGGGATTACACCACAATGCATTTTCAGTACTGTTAGGAAAAGCTCACTAAACTTTAAACCCAACATAAACACCAAGGAAACCTTCTGCAGATGAGGCTAATTTCAGAACCAAAACCAATAAATTATTTAATTACACAGAAAATGTGTACATTAATTTAAAAAAAAAATAATAACCATGCAAATTAAGACAAGTAACACACTAATCTACAATATTGGTATTATGGGAGGAAGCCATTTCCAAACACATTAATTCAATAAAGTTCCTTGGATCAATACACTTCATGTATATAATATCCAAAATTTAAATACTCTCTGCTCCTGTGTTATTATTTCTTCTATAAAGATTTGGGGAACATCCTACATACAGATGATGCAGTCTCAAACAACCTGAAATAAAGCACACAAAAAATCCCCCCAAACAAACTCGATTTTCATTTTTACAGCAGTATTTTAAAAAAAGACCATCACAGATATTTTTTTGGTTGTTGAAGCTCATCCCATGAAATTCTGCAGATACATTTTCATTAAGTGTTGGGGTACTGCTAATTTAGTGCTCTATTTTAAATAACTAGCTGAATTGTGTAAAGGTAAAAACAATCTAAACTAGCTCTCAATCTGCATAAATGTCACCTTCTCAGGAGGAAAAAATTTAAAATGCTATGGCCCTTTCCACAAAAGCTACTTTACAGAAGCTGTGTGACAAAAATGAGTTTTCCACATTCATGAAATGCAAAATATACTGTCTTTTACATCAGGCTCTCAACCAGCTGGAACACGTGTGAGCTGGCACTAGCCTGTGAGGAAATGCATACACACACACAGCATATAGATATAGCACACAGGCATACACAGGGTAATTCATAATATTTTCTGGGGAGAAAAAAATTAGTTTACTTGTCCATGGATGGATTAACATGGAGCTTTTAGCAGAAGAAATCAAACTTACAGCTTGTTTTTGATGCAGATTCATGAGACAACTGAGGCAATCTAATAGCACAGCACTATCAAAAGGGAAAATCCTCTCCACCTCTTTCTTTGTACTTGCCCTGGTATTCCTCTGACCCAAGCAGAGGCAATTCAGCCCAGTAAGCCAGCATAAAATTATTCACTTCTTTTGCTGGTTCAAATAGATCCAATCCATCTACTTACTTCCTACCTTAAACAGTCCCTACTTTCAAATGTTTTTCTAAATACTACAATATTCTTTAATTTATTTTATTGCAAGGAGATCAAGAAACCCTAGTAGCCAAAATGTATTGGTCAACTAAGACACAAAATATTCAGTAAACAGATACAAAACCCAGAAACTGTTGTAGAGTTGTTTTAAATTTCTCTTTTAACCCATCAGTGGCTGGTAAACCTCCACTTTTATCTATCATTCATTCTCAGCCCATTCTGGCAGCCAAAATTCTCTCATCAATATGGCGACTGAACCCGGGTTCCTGATTATAGTAGCTTAGTTTATTGCTGCTCAGAAAAACTGCAAACAAAGGCAGGAGTTCTGCAGCCATACACAAATTGAAACATTAATTTTGGCTTTTGTTCATGTCACTGCAAAGTACATTTTATTAAGAAAAGCCAGGAGCAAACCATTTTTGTCATCCATGCTGTTGTCATTAGATGCCAATATTATACCAACTGAAAAAGTAAAAAGGTGACAAATACTGTTTTCCACCATCCGTTGCATATTTTTAGCATAATATTCTTTTACCATTCGCAATTTTTCTGTACTTTTCACTTATGCAGAATGACCCCCTCTCCAAACATAATCTGGCTGCTTTGGTATGTAAAATGCTCATACTAACACTAGTATAGAACCACATGATGAGACCCAATCCCAGAATGAATATGAGAAAAAAACACATCCTTCTGTTTCAAATTCTTCTCACAAGATGTCAGTTCAGAGTTTTACTTGCTTTGTAATATCAAAGGCAAAATAAAAAAGTCTCACTTGTGAAATATGGTTGATTGAAGATTCCATGCGCCGAAGCTGGGATGCCTGGATATCCAGCATTTGGAGAACATTGTTGGCCAAAGTGTTGATCAGATAGGCTACGCTTGCTAGCGACTGGGTTGTGTAGGCTTTGGTTTCTTCCAGGGCTCGCTGCTTATCTGCTGACTGAAAAACAGGAAGAAAAGGTTTATTTAGCACAAAGTCTTTCACGCAAAGATTCCTGGAATCAACTCTTTTTGCCTGCCTTTGTAGACAACGAATTATACAAGTCAAACCAGTTCTAAATACAAGTTACTATTTTTCCACAAAAGATACTACCTTTGTATTTTAAGAGTTTCTACACTTCCAAAGAAGAATTAAGCTTCTTTTTTTCTTTAAATATACTTGTATTTTTCTTGCCAAAAGTCCAACTTCTTATTCAGAATTTCAGCAATTTACTTAGCAAAGCACTCTGAGGTAACTATTAGTTATTTTGCCTAGATTTTATATGATTTAGAACTGCTTAATTTTTCTAAACCTGGTACTTCATTTATAACTCCTGACAGCCTACAAGAAGCTGCCAAATACCATATTCCTCATCTCTCCCAATCATTTAGACCTCATTGTTGTCACAAATGATCATTCACAGTGAACTATAACTACTCTCATAAAATGGTAGCTGAATACAATGTGAGAAGAATAATATTTTAAAAAGAGTAAGTCCATGTTTTCTTCTTAAACAAGTTTTGTACTTTTTCACATTGCCAATACTATTTTCTATGAAAAATTAATATGATCCATTTTTCTAGTAGTAGAGCACCTAAAAGTATTTAGGCTATCAACAGACAATATATCCATTAGAAATTTTAAAACGCACATACATTTCAAACAGCATTAAAAACAATACACTAAGAATCTAATTGTTAGGTTTCTGTGTTTCTCCTTGAAAAATAGTTACCAACACTAAGATGCAATTCAGTACAAAGAATACAGATTAAAGCACTGGTAAAACATACAACTAAGATGCTAAGAAACTTTCCAGTTTCCAAGGCTTCAGTATACAGTGAACTTCACTTTTAGGCGATCTTTAGCCATCTCACAGGCTGATGGTGCTGTTTCTAAAGCAATGGTTGATAAATGTTCTCTACTCCCACCTGTCATTATAATACTGTATTTCATAATTTCCTTGGCTTTTTATATTTTCCATATGGGTTGGATATCAAGATTCAAGAAATGTGTTGTTAATAAAGAGGGAATACAAAGCCATTCCATATCTTTCAGCACAAGCTGAATCTAACATCCATTGTATTATATGTACTTTGAGAAACACAAAGTTAGTATATCTGTATTTCAGGAAAACAATTCCTACAGCTCAATATGTTTCCCAAGACCTTGTAGTAAGATTCTTAAAAGAAGATTGCTAGCTTTCATAGGAAAAAAATTCCCACACATGTAAACAGACACAAGACTTCATTAAATGCTCATATGAAAGATATCCAATACTTTTTCTTTCCTGGCAAGTTCCTGTGTCCATAAACAGCACTGGTAACTTAACTGGCCAGTTAGCAGGCTGCACTGGTACCAGGTCCTCATCTGCTAGGAAGGAGGAGAGTAGCAGCTGCTGTTCATCCAAGAGCTGCCTCGATGGGGCAGGAAGAAGGAAGGCTGCAAGAGGTGAGCATTCTCACCATGTTTCTCTCCCATGCAGAAGACAAAACGAGACCAACAGAAGAAGAAACTGAAAAATTTAGGAACTCCTCAGGGCACAGCATGAGGATATTCTCCAACAGAGCACAATTACAAATGCTGTCTTATATTCAACTATAAAGAAGTTAGAAAAATGCTATCCCCAGATCTCATTTAAGAACTCATGACTTTTTACCAGCTGAGTAGTATGTCTTGTACATAAAAGAGCTTGAAACTCAGCTTAAGTACTCCCAAATGAAGGAACATCGAGCTCTGTACCTCTGTTCTCACATTGCTGGCTTGTAAATACACTCTTTCTTCCCCTCTCCCTGCTCATACCCCCAGCTCAGCCTGCACACTCCCCTGCAGCAGGCACGCTCCACAGCCATTCAAACTATTTCTCAGTGGCAATAATAAAAATTACCAGAAGCTCTCCTGTTTGGCTCTGCAGCTGCTGCCAAGCTATTTATAGAAGCAGAAAATTCTGATTTCCATTAGTACACTGTATATCCAGAAAAAATTAGTATAATCCAGGAAACACAGTATTTTTTCATTAATAGACGAAGTGTTGGAGAACAAAAGGAAAAATTTCCTTAAATTCAAGTATTATGAGCCTCTGATATAGTTTTTCTGCTTAAAGAAGCACAAATATGAATCCATGTTCAGAGCTAGTCCTTCCAGGACTGTAAGCCAATAGCTAAATTCAAGTCACCTCCAGATCAAACCAACAAGAAACTGACTTCTCAATGCTCAAATGCATTAAAGATCTCATAAAACAATACTATAAACCACTTTGAAACTGTTAACATCACAAAACCCCATTTGATTGAGGTGTCTAATTCATGAATTTAGCTGGTAACAGCTGTGATTTGTCCTACATGTCTTTTTACAGAGCCCAAAATTCTCTGAGGCAAACTCCACTCACATTTAGCACATCAAAACTGAAGTTTGAACTTTCTTCCTGTGAAGAATCTGCTCAAAATAAAATGACTATTTGAACCTACTACTGTCAATCCATTTCAAAAGAACAAAAAATAATTAGTGGCAGCATTTTAAAACAATCGTGTTTACCCTGAAAACTTTCAAGAGATGAAAACTTGAATGACTCACAGCGAGAGTAAAAATTCTAGAATACTTACAGAAAAATCGTAAGTTCCCCTGTAGAAACATAACAATAAATGCCAGTTAAAATTAAACTTGAAATTATAAGTTGTGTTTAGCATTAAATCCATCTTTTAATTTGATAAGTAGATTTTCAGAGATGGTACCTTATGTGCTCCTACGTAACAAAATCCCTATTTATACTCCACATGGACAACAAATTACATTGTTGCAAATGCTGCTGTGCTCGCTGGGTATGAAATTATGTAAATAAAGGGATTTCTACTAATAAGATAATGGTTTCAAGTCATCAGTAACAAAATTCAAACATAATCCTTGGCAGTCTAAGTTCTGATACTCTTGATAATCCTAGCACCAAAGCACCAGCCAGTATGCTTCACATCAGACTTTAAGGCAGACAAGAAGTTATTTCAATATCCATACCTACCAAAATTCCCTAGTGAAAGAAAAAAAAAACAAACTGGTAAGACTCTCTACAGTAGTTTAAGTCACCTATGGAAGACTCTTTCTATGAAGAATACCAAAAACAAGAGGAACATGTTCCGTGTTCATTATAACAAAAAGACTTGTTCCTGAGGATACTTAAGCATATTAACCAGAGTCCTTGAAGCCCTTCAGTTCTCAGAAACATAGTGTTCAGCATGATCAAGCACTGGTAGCAAGTGTTTTCAGTGCCCTGACCTAAATTAAATGCCATGAAGCAGACCTTTCAGTATGTCTCCATTTCAGTTTTCAAGTATCTTTAGCACTCAAATGCATAAAATTATGCATGCCTATGAAAAAATACAGGCTCATAACATCTATCCACACACAACTCCTAGGAAAGCAATGCTTTCAACCATTAGCTCAGTTTTATCTGTATTTTTTTAATGGTTAATAAATTTAAGAAGTCAAAGCTATGGTCTGACAAACAAGTCTTCTGAAACACTGCCAACATAGGGATCCTCTCATTCCTAGACCAAACATATCCATTCCATTGTCTATGCAGGGCCGTATGGCAGACTGAGTACCTGACCTAGTTTAGAACTAACTTTAGAAACAAATGGTTGTTTTAAACTCCAGTCACTTCCATTATCTTTCCTGACATGCAAACTTGCAAACACTACCCCTAGTAAAACTATGTAGATGTCACAAAGAAAAAGCAAAAAAAAAAACCTCAGTGAATTATGGTCTAAGCAACTGTCATGGTATTATGGAGACTCAGGATCTACTTTAATCAGCAGTACCTGTCACAGCAGATGTCCCCAACACCAAGTGCACACTACATCTGCTGTAGTGAATTAGACCAGGCACATCTCAAGTGAAAATCACATGATACATAAACCAAATTATAAGTTTTACCTCATCCAAACCACTGCATAGCCAGAGGAACACAAGGAAGGATACAAGCAAGAATAAAAGGGAAGAACTACCCAGAGTTGCTGAGCTTGCAAGAAAAGGAACAAGTGCTGGAACATCACTACAGCTTTTCCACCCCTCCACTACCTATAGTTTTTCTTCACCCAAACTGTAGAGTGTCCCATGTTTCTCTTAATATTTTTCCATTAACTGCGTTAAAAATGCTGCTGTGTCTCCACTTCTTAAACCTGTAGCTTCAACTTCTAACACACTGTTAAAATACTTGAGTATCACAGCTGGATTATCTTCACAGCCTTAAATAGAAATGTTTAGATCATGTCTTCTGTGCCCATGTTACAGAATTTCCAGGCAACAGCTTAGCATTTATTCTGTTTATTGTTTTTCTCTATACAATGCACACATCAGGTGTCCATGTGAGTCACAAGGCAGCATCCTTTTCTCCTGCTCTCAGCAGTAAGAGAACCATTTTGACTCACCACTGAGAGTTCATCTGATGCTCCTGCCAGCTACATATGGAGTGGGGACAGCGTCAGCTCCTACTGGGAGATGCTCTCCCCGCTGCAGCAACAAGTGGTTCACCATGCACCTGGACACAGCAGCAGCCATGGCTCTGCCCAGCTCTCCTTGGAGAGTGTTTTCCATTGGTGGGAAGCACCCAGTACTGAAACAGTTATTTTATCTCCACCAGAAAACAAAACAAGCTATCAACTACATAGAAATGTTTCACAGGATGAACCCAGCCCGAGAGCTACAGCACAGACTACAGTGACTACACAAACTGGGGCTTTTAGATAAAAGGAGATCAAAGCCATTCAAGTCAGCTACAAATGCAGACTTCACAGTCAGTCAGAAAAGCCATGTATTACATACACAAGGCAACAGTGTGTGTTTGCTTTCAGACACTGGAGAATTATTAACAGTTTCCACTTCAACGTGCCAGTCCAACAATGGACACTAAATCTAACAACTCAGCAATGATCATAAATGTTCACCTGAAAATATTGCTCATTTTTTATTAG